ACTGCTACTGTGGCCCCCCACCACCACCGCCACAAGTCCCACACCGCAAGCTTTTTGCATTTTGCCATGCAAAAGGCAAGCAAAAAGCCCTAACTCTAAATGACCGCATTTCTTCAGATGACGATGCCTTTTTGGAAAGTCAACACAGGTCGTCACCTTTTTCAAAGGGAGCCCAACCAAGGGACACGAATTTAGAACACCTCCTCAGGCTTGGGGCATTCAATTGGCTTGTACGTTTGTTGTTGCAGTGGTTCTCATCCGGCTAGAAGCACTCATTGAAGCTACCATGACAGGGCTGCAACAGCCATCAAACATCCTCAAACTGTCTAAAGCTGTTTGAAACCCTTTCAAGCCCTCAAGCCTTTATCAAAGCCCAGATCCTAGACCCCACGCTAGGGTCAGCGACCCGGGACATTGCTGCCACACTGCACAGGAGCTCGGGGCTTGCATTTGCAGAGATGCATACATTCTCCAACAATGAACATTGAGAGCTAGGACTTCGGGTGCAAGTAAGGCTCATGTTTCAGGGTCTAAACTTGATACAATCAGCTTTTTCAGAGCTCGCAGAGTGTTGTGCGTCCGTTGTGTGTTGTACAAGTAAGATGAAGGGTGTCTGAAGCTCCCCTTGTCGTTCCTACTAACTAGATATGTTCGGTGTGTTGCTTGTTCAAGGACAGTGGGGTCATAGCACACTGTTCTGGATGATTGCTTTTACAATGAGTGACGCTGTTCAAGTTACTGTAATGATGTTTCACGTAGCTTGCATTCTTGCTAGGGCCCTCGTAGATCCTCCCGAGGCTCTGGGCTAAGACTCCAGGTGAGATGTGGGGTTTCTTATAGATTGGGGTCCTCATAGTAAGGAGCCGAGTATTTAGGTGGGTTGGGCGGGTGGCATCCTTTCAAAGTCTGCTGCGGTTGTCATCAGGATCCCAGATTGGAGGGTGAAGGTTTCAACTAGTTGAGGCATGAAAGGTTTCTGGCGACCAGACCCACGAGACCAAAACCCCTGCAGCAAATTGAGCTCCTGCAACCCTTCACGTAAGCCCCTCAATACCGAAAGCCCCTTAAATTCCGTGGCCCTGGATCGTTCAAAACATACCCCGGAACCTAAAGTGTCGACAGAGTCTCATAAGAGCTTACTGTCATAGTCGCCAGCCTAAACTCACCTAAAAGTATCTTTTCGCTTCAATGAACCCCAAGCCGCCAGCTTGGGGAACGTTCACCGTGGCCGACGAGACCCGACAGCCGCACAGCAAGCGCTGGAGGGAGCTTTGCAGATCAGAGAGGCGCCTTTCTTTGAGTTCTTCCGTGGAAGGGGGGGTTGTCAGCTTAGGATTTAGAGAGATCCTTTGGGGGGTTTGGGTTTCAAATTTGAGGCTGAAGTTTGACCTGTGAGGGGGTGTTCGGGTTCCAGTGCTCGGGTGGCCAGTTCAGGCATCTGCTTGTGGGATTCTCGCAGGTCTAGGTGCTATCTGTTTACGCGCATGAACAGCCGTATCCCACACTTAAAGCCCAAGGGCTACCAGGGTGAGGAGTCCTTCCAAGGCTATCTGCCTGCTCATAAGTCTCCAATTTGTTAGATCACGTCAAGGCTCGGGCGGAGCAGAGAGTTTTCATCCAAAAATCCCGGCAAAAGACCCTTCGGCAATTTCAATCATTCAGAGGGGGCCCGTATACATAACAGGCTAAATAGTGCGATCCCTATTCTCCCCGACAAGGAGCCCCCGATTTTAGGAAGGCATCAGTGTTGAGGAAGGCAGAGGAGTGAGGAGTACTTGAGTTCTGTCTAGGGTCTTCATGGGGGTTCATAGGGATGTATGACTACATGCCTCGCGTGTGTAGTAGGATCAGCTTTGCAGCACTACGATTGGGTAGATGATTAAAGAAAGGGCAGGCGAACATGTCTGTCAGGTTGAGTGTAGTTAATGTAGAAGCCTGAGCAATTACGCTGCTGAACGGTAGGACCCCTTATCATAACCGGTGTCAGATTTGGGGATGTTTCGGGTGTATTTTGCAGGGCAGGGCTCTATCATGCTAGGTCGACCGTGAATGTTCCTTGTGCCTTATGGGCGAGATGCGTTTTAGATCAGAACTTTCAGAGCTCATGGAGTATCGTCCGCGTGCATTGTCGAGTATTGTCCAAGTTGCATTGCTTTGTGGCAAGAGCGGTCCGAGTTGGATGATGAAGTTGGAACACTGACGTACAAAAAAGCATAAAATTGGCCATTACAGGAGCCCATTTAAGGCCCAGGTAAAAAACAACAATTAGATAGCAAGGTACATGGACACTCAGGGTTCTGGTGCAGAATGCCTAGAAAACCAGATAATTTTTAGGTTTAGGGTTTAAGGGTTTAGTGGTTTAGGGTTTAGGGTTGCACTCCCAGACCTTAAAGTGTTGGAGTTTCCGATACTAGACATGTCGGTGAATCTGGCAGTGGGATTGCTGAGCGGCAAGGTAGTTACCCTGGAAGCCTCCTTGGATGAATCGGTTGGCACGTTGAAACGTCGAGCAGAGACGGCACTCGACGTCGGAAGAGGACGGCTGGTGGATTCGTGTGGAAGGATTCTGGATTCATCTGCGCCGCTCAAGTGTGTCAAGCTTCAGAATGGTCAGTCACTGACATTGCATGTAAGCAAAGTTCAAACTCATGCCAATCAGAGCGCTTTTGCTGCCATTCTTGGCGACGGATCTGTCGAGACCTGGGGTGGTGCTGTCTATGGTGGCGACAGTAGTGAAGTCCAGGATCAGCTGAAGAATGTACAGCAGATTCAAGCCTCCAGTTATGCTTTTGCTGCCATTCTTGGCGACGGATCCGTCGTGACCTGGGGTCATGCTTACTACGGCGGCGACAGTAGTGAAGTCCAGGATCAGCTGAAGAATGTGCAACAGATCCAAGCCTCTCAAAGCGCTTTTGCTGCCATTCTTGGTGGCGGCTCTGTCGTGACCTGGGGTAATGCTGTCTATGGTGGCGACAGTAGTGAAGTCCAGGATCAGCTGAAGAATGTACAGCAGATTCAAGCCTCCAGTTATGCTTTTGCTGCCATTCTTGGCGACGGATCCGTCGTGACCTGGGGTCATGCTTACTACGGCGGCGACAGTAGTGAAGTCCAGGATCAGCTGAAGAATGTGCAACAGATCCAAGCCTCTCAAAGCGCTTTTGCTGCCATTCTTGCTGGCGGATCTGTCGTGACCTGGGGTGAGGCTAACTATGGTGGCGACAGTACCGAAGTCCAGGATCAGCTGAAGAATGTGGAGCAGATCCAAGCCTCTCATGGCGCTTTTGCTGCCATTCTTGGTGGCGGATCTGTCGTGACCTGGGGTCATGCTAACTTTGGTGGCGACAGTGGTGAAGTCCAGGATCAGCTGAAGAATGTGCAGCAGATCCAAGCCTCTAGATACGCTTTTGCTGCCATTCTTGGTGGCAGAACTGTCGTGGCCTGGGGTAATGCTGTCTATGGTGGCGACAGTAGTGAAGTCCAGGATCAGCTGAAGAATGTGCAGGCGATCCAAGCCTCTCACGGCGCCTGTGCTGCTATTCTTGATGGCGGATCTGTCGTGACCTGGGGCAATGCTGTCTATGGCGGCGACAGTAGTGAAGTCCAGGATCAGCTGAAGAATGTGCAGCAGATTCAAGCCTCTAGTCATGCTTTTGCTGCCATTGTTGGTAGCGGATCTGTCGTGACCTGGGGTTATGCTATCTCTGGTGGTGACAGTAGCGAAGTCCAGGATCAGCTGAAGCATGTGCAGCAGATTCAGGCCTGTTTCTCTGGATTTGGTTTTGCTGCAGTCTTGGGCGATGGATCTACGGTCACCTGGGGCACTGCTGAAAAACGTGGACAGGCAGACGAACAAGAAGAGGAGCAGGAGGAGTCTGGGGAGGACGAGGAGGAGAGGCTTTAGTTTCAGGAACTTGCTGCTATTACCTTAGGGATCTAAGGACTCATATATTGAAGCTTTTGGGCCCAAAGACCATACAATATAAGGCTTTTGGGCAATTTTGATCCCTCGGGTTATGTGAGGCTGCGCAGGGCTTCCGCAGGTTCTCTGCCAGCAATCAGCAGCTACCACGTTTGGAGAAAGCTCAGTTCCCGAGGTTCCCGGTCTTGATGACCCCAAACGCTAAGCCCTAAAACCCTAAACCTTAGGCCCTAAAACCCTTTACCCTAAGCCCTAAAAACCCTAAACCTTAGGCCCTAAACCCGAACACCCCTGAGCCCTAACACCCCAAAAGCCCTCAAATGCGAGCCCTGGGAGCCCTTCGGAGTCTAGGCCTGTCCGCGGCTTTGCGGTTGCTTGGGGTGCAGGGTTTAGGGGTTTAGAGGTTTAGAGGTTTAGGGGTTTTTGGGTTCAGGGTTTAGGGGTTTTTGGGTTCAGGGTTTAGGGTTTAGGCTACGTGCATGTTCATAGAGTTGAAAATTCAATGAAATCGCAAGAGCACACGAAGCCAGGCAGGGCGGACAGGCCGAGGCTGCGAGCTTCTCCGAAATCCGCAGTTTGCGCCATGTGCTACTCCAGAAACCCGTCTAAACCTCAAACCCCGATATCTGAACCTGGAACACAGAATCCTAATCCTAAATCCCAGGCTTCTAAACCCTAGCAGTAGTCTCCGAGACCCTGAGAAGACAGATGATGCGCCTGCAGGCTACTCTTGGACCTGAGTGTGGCCCTCTGTCTCGGCAAGGGATAAAAGGGGGGGTTTGGGGTTCCTTTCTGGATGCTTTTCCCTTTCATAACCCAGAGAATAGTTGTTTTAATGATAGGATCTGCGATACAGTCCAGTAGGCTGCGAGTGTCGGATTTGGAGCCGTTTTCTATCTCGGACTTTCGGTTGCGGCCTATGCTGCTTTCAGGGCTTTATAGGGTCCGGATATTGGAAGTCAGCGTAAACCCCAGTGTGTGTCTGTCTTTCAGTAGTTGCGCCGGCGTTCACAACCTTTTTGATTCCTTGGAACCTGCGACCCGCGGCTGTTTGAGCTCTTGCTTCCGCTGGTCCGACGCCATGCCAGCGAAGCCAAAGACCGGCGGATATGCCTCAGGGCAAGTCCAGGACGACGATGACAGCGACGACAGCGACGAAGGCCAAAGCCGCGTGGATGCTGGCACAGGGCCCGATGCAGAGGCGCAGCTGCAAATCAGAAGAGCATCTACGGCTTCAGCAGCAAAAATAGATCTATGGCCCAAGCAGGAGCTTGTCTGCCTGCACTGAAAAGATGGATGAAAGAGATGCGTATCTAGACACTGGCAGTGGAGCAGTTGAGCATGTGCCAGACAAGCCGAGGAAGAGAAGGCGCACTTCTTGGAAGTTTGCCTCTTGGGCTTGACTTTCAGGAGTGACTGGTTCAATTTGCCGCCTATATGCAGAGCCGAAAACGATTAAGCCAGATTGCTACTTTCCGCTGTCCTCCTGAACATCTCACATTTCCATGTTCGCGTTTTATGCCACCTGCTCGAAGCGCGTCCTGCTAGCCACTCTCAGCCCACCGAGGTTATTCGTTTATGGAGTATGGCACAGATGCTTACTACGACCTTGGCCGAATGCAGGAGACGGGACCGAAGTGTGGGGTTTAGGGTTAGAGAAGGAACAAAATTTAGACTCTTTGCTTCACTGCACCCTAACCACCAACCCCCGAACTCCCAAGATCCTAGAATAAAACCCGAAACTGCGCCCTGCTGGAGGTGTTGCCTGCATCCGTGCCTGCTTTGTGCAACGGTGCGAGTTGAAAACCCGAAACTAAAACTTTTAACTTGCATTGAACCCCTGCATCCAGTGTTTATCCCCGCGAAAAGCATCACAACTTGAAGCCCGAAGCATAAGAAACCTTCAGTAGAGCCGTAATCCCAAATCGCCCAGCAATCCATCCCCCTGTGGTTCCCTAGGAGATTTTTCTGCCGTTCCCGCCTCACTTTCAAACACGAACAGAATAAGCTTGGGGTCCACTGTAAGGGACTTATAGACTTATAGGGCTTTCATAGAGAAAAATGAGTGCTAGTGTTCTCTCGGATCTGGTTCTTCAGTAAGGAATTTTACCTAGGATCTGTGGGGAATGGTTTTTTGTAACTCTACCCCAAAGCTCAGCCTGCTTTTCGAAGCTTGGGAAAGGATCACAAGGCTCAGGACGTCCATCGGCCAGCGTACCAATCCCATAGACATGAGCGCATGGGAAGAATTGCTCATCGTGGAACCACATCGAAAAGTCATAGTAAGGAAGTCAAGGAGAGATCTTTGCCTGTAATCTTGTTACAGTCCTGACCCAGCAAGGTGCGTGATGTAAGGGTGTTTAAATTACCAAGCCCCAAGATCCAAAAAGCCCAAACCCATAGACCTTAAGGCCTTTTCACCCCGCACCTTGATCCCTAAGGGGATTAGAGGTATTTGCCCCAACATGACCCTGAATACTCCAAGGAGACCGTCCAAAGCTTAGACAAGGCTGACATGGCCATGTGGAAGATCGATCCGCTGGCGTCCCGCGGCAGGAATAACGCTGGCAGGACTTAACCTGCCTTAGGCAGTGAGTTTGTTGCCGGCGCGAGCCGCGCGACAACGTCAACCGTCACCATAAACCCCAACAAAACCAAAACCCTGAACCCTAAACCGGAAAACCGTAGAACAACAAATTCGTGTGTGCAATCACAAACTTTACACAGCTGGCTACTTAGACCCTGAGACGTGCTCGCCTGCTCAATAGATTTTCTTGGAAGCAGCCGGACCGGAAAATGGCTCATTCCGAAACAAGCACGTACATCAATTCAGGGTGCAGGGTTTAGAAGTTTAGGTGCAGCTACACGGATGATTTCAAGACCTCGGGAAAAAACGGACCCATGAGCTCAACCAGCATTCTATGCCCTGCCGGACTGCTTTCAAAGCCTGTGAATACAACTGGAAGGTGTGCGGCATGGGTATCGATTGACCGGTAGGGTTTTGGTGCACATTGTAGCATACTTATGATGAAGAACCCAACGGAATAATGCCCGTGATTGTTCCGGCCTATAGTGTGGCTCCTGTTTTTTGCCAATTCCCATGTCAAGCCGGGCTGTAAAACCCCAAGCCTATCTTAACCACTACGTTTCAGAGAGAGCACATTCGGCCCAACAAACACCGACCCCACACTACAAAAGCTCGGGGGGGGCGGTTCCATGGGTTCCTATAGTGCTCCCAAACCTTGGGTTTTTAATTGACGATCCCATATTATGAGTCTTTGAGACCTCCTGCTTGCCCAAGCAGCTAATGGTGGTAAAGGCACAACAACAGAGGGACCTGCAGTTCGAAAATCATGGGATAGACGGGGTAGTTCGTCGTTTGAGTTTCGAAGAATCTAACCTACTTGCAACCTACGTGCGAATTCTCCTTTAGCTCATCTGCTTAACATACAGTAGTGGAGATCATGTTGCTGCCACCCTGCATTCGCTAATCATGATGACAAAGAGAGCACGAGGTGGTACAATGAGATCCAGAAGCGTGTGCACCTTGGCCTTCGGTGTGGGTTTAGCATGTGGCTCTAGCGATTCCAGGCACTGCGGATAGGGTCCACATATGAATTGTTCAATTGTTCGCAAGTAAGATGCGAGAGAGAGAGAGAGAGAGAGAGAGAGAGAGATAGAGAAGACCCCGCACAAGGTTCATCAAGCACCGTACCCATCCAGGACAGAAAAAATCCTAAGCCAGAACCCAGACCCAAAAGCCCAAATCTCAAAGCCGAAAGCCCAAAACAGAATCCATATGCCCGGACCGCGATGAACGTTGCAAGAGCTGTGGAAAAGGGGGGGGGGGGGGGGCGAAGCTGGGCTCCAAAAGAGGTTCTGGTTCTGCTCGGATGCTGCAAGCAATGCCTGGAGCGGAAGCCTTGACAGCAACAGCCTTCCGCTGTCAGGCAGATCAACCTGAACTTCCTGCGGATGCTTCCTAATCCAGACGACACCTGCCTGTATTCTGGAAGTCGGCCCACAGAACTCACTCACTCTCTCACACACACACACGTACATATATACATACAGAGATATAAACCGATATACATATTATGTAGACACGCACATGCACATGTTTATGGTCATTTTCGCAGCTGCTGTTCGCTTTAACAGAGATCCGGGTCTGTTTCGAGACGCTTGAAGTGCCAGGGCCAGGAATCTGAGGAGATTCCGTTGACAAGTTGGCATGATTCCAATCCAACACCTTAAGTATCCTGAACTGTCGCTTGTCTGGTGCATTCCCGGTTGCAGGCACGGTGGTGGAAAGCACTGTGTCTCTCTTGATAACTACTTATTTCCAGTTACGAACGTGGCTCGATGTAGCCAGAAACCTACCCACTCCCTTCAACCACATGGGTGGTTGTCAAAATTATGGACAATGTTTGGGTCCTTAATATAATACGGCACCTAATATTTAGGGTACCGAATTAGGGACCCTAGTTTTGACAACTCCCCACATGACACTCAGCAGAATTTGACGGACACCGTCCTACACTGTCTTCCCAGACCCCCGGGAGGATCTGAAAAGTAGATCCCCTAATTGGGGCCCTATACTACTAAGGGTACTTTATAGGCACCCCCATTAAGGGATCTACTTCCCGGGGGTCTGGGATTAAGTACCCCAAACGGTGAGAGCTGTCACATTGTCCATGTTCCGAATGACGCAAAGCTCTGTCCCAGGTTTGCGGGGCAGATCTAGGACGGCAAGCATGGCAGCTCGTGACTCAGGCAAGGTCTCCATGCAGACTCCTTCATACGGAAGCTGAACCTATTAGCAGTACTTTCCTCCTAGAATGATGCTTCTATGGTATGCCCGAAACCCCAATCTAATTGTTCGGATCCCTGCATTGGGCCTCGCGTTCTCTGTGTTTCTGTTTAGGGCGATGTGTTTATTGGAGATCTCGGGTTTGGAGGCTGCCTTTGGGGTTGCGGGTTCCGTGGTTTTTTTTGGTTCACGGAGTTGGGTTTCTGAGGTTCCGGTGAGTTTTATGTTGTCGCTGCTGCTCTTCGTGAATGTCAGCTCCAGAGAGTTTAGGAGCGTGTCATCATGAGGCTCAGATGATCGGGGTTTCGGATATTGGTGTTTTTTGTGTTGCGTTACGTTGGGCTTTCGGTTTTCGGCGTTGGACATATTTTGGTGTTTGGGGTGTCTCAAGCTTTAGCCACGGATACTAGAATATCACAGTTCCTCTTTTCAGGATCTCTGAGTTTAAGGGTAGTCCTTTCAGGGGTTTTGCAGCTCCTGGCCGGAGACCCAACTGCCTCTTCGTATGAGGAACGTCCCCTTAAAATGCACCACGGAGGTCTGGAGAGTTATCAGTCATTACTCTCCTTATTATAGTCCCATCTGCCCGGAACCTGCTTATTGTGGTATTAAACGTTTGACCGTCGACTGATGGAGGGTGTTGAGGTACATTGCGTATATGATTGGAGGGTTCTATGGATCTCATTTCGGGAGTTCGGGGTCTTCTGCAATCCCTAAATCTCCGTTCGCTGCGAGGTGCCTGAGGGTCATCGGGTGGCCAGCAGGAACTCATCGAAGGTGCCGTGGTCAGAGCTTCCCAATTCTGCTATGAGTGGAGTTGTGTATAGCATAAGACCCCCTTTGATCACAGCTTCCGAGGCCTCGGGATTTCAGGACCTAGGAGTTTAAATTGGGTTGCATTAGAGGACTCGGAGTGCATGTACCAGAATCGAGGTTGTTGACACCGCATTATTCTACGCCTAGCCTACTCCCCAAGCCCTTTGAGCTTGCAAGTTCACAGCGGCTGAGGAGTTTGATTTAGGCAAAAGGATCTGCAGATGTGGTGCTTTAGGTTTGCTTTCAAGTCTAGCGCATTTCCAAAGATGTTTCCTCGACTCCCACAAGGTTAAGCCAGGCAGGCTGATCCAGGAAGTAAGCGCCTGGGTTTTCGCACGGGGATTATTGCTTCAAACCTTGATTTCCCAAACGCTACGTAAGTCCAGACTTCTGCAACCATAGAGATCCACACCAAATCCTGCAAAGGCATCGCAAAGCCATGTAAAGCCGTTTCCAAGATACTCCTTGAACTTCCCTGCAAAAGACGCACACAGCCCTCCATATCATATCCTTACGGGCGCTCGGGATCCTCAGGGCACCTGCGCAGGGAGCCTTAAAGGAACCTTGTGGGGCGCTAGGGGATTATCAAGGCCCCTCCTCCGCTCGGATCTTCCTCCGGCTTCCCGTTGCTTAGGAAATTTGTTTAAGTCAGCATACAAGGGAAAGATCTTATGTACTGGGTACATACCAGAAAACAACTTGTAAAGAGAATATAGCTTCATTCACCAGAATCCTGTACAAGCCCTATGAAACCGTCAAAACCCTTCGCAGAACCCCTTCATAAAAACCCCTATATGAAACCTCGCAGAAACCCTTGATGCCCCTTACAACAAGAAGGCCTTATGAATCAGAAGACCACGTCGCAGGTGCGCTCCACTCTACGCCAGTTTGTGCGTGATTGGTCCAGAGAGGGCCAGGCCGCATCTTGGCGCCTTTCGGGGGGTATTCTAAAGGATTTCGGGTTTTGGGTTTAGGATGGGGCGCCGTTGGGGCTTGTCGGATGCCAGGGCTTTCTGTCCAGGACTGCTCGTGGGCTGGCGTCCACCACAGGTTGTCGGGTTTAGGGCTTCGAGGGATCAGAGTGTATTATGTAGTGTCTTAGCGTTGTCGGAACCCTAAACCATAGATGAACCCTAAACGATTGCAGGGGCTCTTGCTGACTTCGTGAAGGGCAAGGGATAGGGCTATATACCCAAGCGCGGTGAAACACTCGCCATTCGCAACTTCACCCCAAGACCTTGCCCGATGAGCAAAGCTTCTTGCATGACGGCCACAGTAGCAGGATCAGGTCGGCCGACATCTGAAGGATTTGCCTTGTGTTTTGGAGCTCTCGGACCTGTACGGCGGGTCGGGTGTTTATAGCCTAGGTCTTTAGGGTTGTTCAGAGTTCAGGGTTTAGAGTTGGCCTAGCGGGCGTAGCACCACGAGCTGAGAGGCACGCACCTGTGCAGTCCGATTCCATACCGAGAGGGATCACGCGAAGCTAAACACCCTGCACAGCTAAATCTCGTTGGGGCACCTTCATCCTCGGATATCGTCAGCCTCATGGTTCGTTGTTCAAACCCGGTGAGCCCAACATCTCTTAATTAGGTTAAGGAAAGGTATACTCAAGCGGGTGTTGGGGGGGCTCTTGGGCATACTCGTAATGCCAAGAGGATTAAATCAATCCTGAAACCAAACCCTACAAGATCCTTAATCCCGAGATATTCAATAAGGTGACATGTTCTAAGGTGCGAATATAAGCCCGTCGTGGACTTACAAAACCCAGTTTAAAGCCGTAAGAGCTGTGCCCAAACTTTACAACTCAGTTTACAACTCAGGAGAGGCAAGCCTCCTACGGGCCACTGGTTTCAGCTCTGCTGTGCCTCGGTCACTTTCGGTGATACAGGGGCCGGAATAACTAGTACCAATGTCCCTTGTTGTCCATGCGGAAAACAGTACGATGTGCACCGAAACCCAGCTCTAAGTTTCAATTCCCTATATTACGTAGGCATGCTTCGAGGAAGTTCGGTTGCCTGTAAGGGGTTTACGGGCTCCTAATGCAGTGTTACAAGGATGTCTAACGAATCTATGACTTTTGCTGTCAGGGTGTTCTGCACGTTTCCATGGCAGTATTGACGGTACACTTTTGCGCTGAAATGTCTCCCGGTACAGCGGCGATGCTTACTAACCCGTTCCTTTTTGTTCCTGATCATAATCGTACCAAAGCTGTCCTAAATTATCATTACTACTATATCATACGTAATATCCTATACGTTAGGGCAGGTGGTATGACCGTTTTCTGTTGTGGGATTGGGCTCTGTTGTGACTAGGCAACCATAGGTCCTCGCGGAGCTGTCATCGGCGTGCCATGCGAGTCTACAGCGGCAGTGGCAGTAGGGTCCTCTCCAAGCGCCAGCATGGACTTCCACGCCGAATCCCCTGACAAAGTCATATTCGCCCGCAGCCCGGAGCCCCGCACAGCCGCCAAATCACATCCCTTCAAAGTCTTTTTTGGGATTGTTCGAAGGACTTAAACGGAGAAGGAGAGAGAGGGAGAGAGAGAGAGAGAGACAGAGAGTCAGACAGAGTGCAGTCCCCCTTCAGTCAAGCCTGGTGGCCCACCGACTGCCCACACATTCCAGTGCCTTTCAATATGCCATACGAGGTGTATATACCTGACGTACTATGGCACTTAGCCAGACAAGGACTCCATAATCCGAATGCCTGCTCACACTGGACAGGAAAACGAAAGAACCTCTGCTGAGTTCCCTGCAGCCGTCCCAGCTTGAACACCGAAAGCCTGACCTTAAAACAACGTCTCTCATGGCCCAGATGCGAGGAACACGTCGAGCTTGTGTGTATGTGTGTACATACATAGGTATGTATGTATGTATGTATGTATGTATATGCATACACACACACACACATACATACATACATACATACATACATACATACATACTTGCGTACATACATTCATACATACATACATAGGTATTTGTATGTGCAATTGTTTGGTGGACATGTTTCAGATGCCTTTTTTGAGCGTGTCCCCCCAACACTTTGGTAGCATGAGCCCGAGCCCAGGAGACACCTTCCTCCCAAGGGTCAGGCCAAAGCGCCGGCAGTGCTTTGTCCCGGCTGCGGGCGCCTGTTCGTGTTTAGGGCTGGGGGTAGGCTTCGTGGGACGTACGTTCTGGTTTTCCCGTGGCGGCTCCTGCGTCACGCAGCTAGACCAGGAACCATCATCGATCCGAAAGCCCTTCGAGACTAACGCTGTGATTTGACAAAGGGTTTTGCTTTCTCTTCGTAAGTTCCTAGCCACACGAGAAGAGGAAGATCGGTCAGGCTTCCTACACTCCAACTTATGAGGCCCTATGAAATCTCACCAGCCACACTCCGACCTGAGAGGTAGCCTGCTTGCCTGGAAACTGGTTGCAGTGGAGTCGGCGTTTCGAATGCGTTCGGCTGTGGAGCAAGAGCCCTTAAAGACTTCTTTCTGGCAGGGGTATAGAAGAATCGAAAGACGTATCCTCACCTCCCAAAACGTGAGCCCTCGACGAAGCCTGAAGATAAGGCTGGCACGGCTCCCCTTCGACTTGGTCCGCCTGGGGTATGCAGCCCAGGGTCACCTTGCCTTGTCGGCCTAGCATCGGATGACTTTCATTTGGGGTTGAAGATCGGGCATTGTGTGTTAAGGCTTCAGAGGAAGACAAGGAGCTGCCGCATGGAAATGGAGTTTGGGTGCCGCAGTTCCAGATTACAAGGCAGAAGTTTAGTCGTTCAAGCCTACGCGGTGCAAACACTGAACCCCGAACTCATTCGACCTTTGGCACGTTTTTCCTTGGGATCGGAATCGTAGTAGAGAACCAAGTATACAAGGACACTGATTATACAGACCCTGCAAGGGATCGTCAGACTTAAGAGACACTGATGTACACCTTTCGGAGTGTCGCTGATAGCATGCAAGTATTTCGTGTCGGATCGGAGGTGTAGGGCTTGGTGTTTAATCTCGTCCGGGAGTTGTAAAAGGATCTCTTCAGCTCTTTTTACTGCTGGAAAATCAAGACAGCTTGTCCACTCGGGACTCGACCCAAAGAGCTGCATAGTTTTGGGCCGATCTCGCATCCACCGTTTTGAGGAATCTAGTCTTTCTCCGGCTGCGACCGCATAGTTTCTCAAGAGTCCATGACGCAATATCGCCTCTTCGTGACCGCCTTTCTAAGGCAGACTTGCGCTTCTAGCAGTCTTTAAGGTCAAGCTGCTGTCGTTCTGCACGGATTCACAATTGCTTGGCTGCCTCCTGCAGGGCTAATGGCACAGCTTCTTGTTATTTGTTCTAGGCGTCAGAGTGTACCAGCCTGTCGGAAACCCAGGGCCGGGCTTCTTCCCCCCGAAACCCTGAGACGTTAAACCATAAGAACCTAGACCCTGAAACCTCGCATCCGAAACCACCTCAGCTCAGGTAACGAATTCTCCTATCACATGCTCTTGGGCAGCCACCTCATCTTGAACCGCAGCGATCGGGCAGAATGCTTCAGCATCTTTCCTTTCGTGACCCTTGGCGGATTCAAGTCTACATTGAGTCTACATGTAGGATTTAAGCGCCAGTGGCTCAATGTAGCACCAAACCGCATCCGTTTAAGCAAGGATGACTGGTCTGCATGTGTGTGTGTGTGTATCTGTGTCTGGGTCTGTGTCTCTCTGTGTGTGTGTCTGTTTGTTTATCTATGCGTCCGTCAGTCTGTCCGTCAGTCTGTCTGTCTGTCTGTCTGTCTGTCTGTCATTGTTTTTGCGAGCGCGCCTGCTGCCGCACTTACGAGCCTATCTATGTACAAAGACGTAGACATCTGGATGCTGGTAAGTTCATGTATGCACACAACCTTATGCTTTATGTGAGACTATATGTCAAGCACTCCACAAGATTTCTCGTTTTGCGGAGCTCCTGCTTTCGAACTACGGTATGGAATGGTTCGACTCGAAGCTGTAGGTATTGGTTCGGAGTTTTGTAGAAGAATACCGTCCTTGAATGTTGAGCTTGTGTTAGCCATGAAACTTAGCAACCAGGAATTCAGAAGACTCGACGACATCATGCGAACTGGGCAAACTTGACCCTCAAACCATAAACCCTAAACCCAAATTCTATAGCCAGCTTAGTTGGTAGGGCATCTGACTGTAGCTCATTGCAGCTATCAGATGGCCCCTTACCAGTGCACAGTGGCTGGATGATGATGCGTGAATAGGGTTGGCAATGTCCTGTACTCTTGCAGCAACAGAATGAGTATGCCAAGCATTCTCGGACTTGGGTGACGGGAGTGCGTAATGCTTCAATCTGGTCACTGAAGTTCTGAGTGAGCAAAAATTAGCCACAGCCTGAAGACCAGCAGCTGTAGGCTGTAGTTCAACTGTTCAACTGAGACACCCTGCAATGCGGGCTTCGTCCTTGTTAGGTAGGAGGAAAAAAACCCAAATTCTCAAATCCGGCACCCCAATTTACTGGATGCCGAAGGGTAGGTTTCCCTGACTGAGGCTTACACTAGCTAATCGGAAGGGGCGCTGGGACCATCTGCGATGTGTGCAGCTTGTCCATCCAGGGTTTTTGGCGGTTTACTGGGTCAAGAGTCAGATCTTCAGCAGCGCTTGAATCTTGAGTTCTTGTTCGGATTGTTCGGGCTGTGATTGCATTTTCCCCTTCGTTTTCAATGTGAAAACGCGTGCTCTTGCTGGTATGACCATGAACTTATGATTGCTGCTTAGCTTGCTTCTTGAGAGCTGTGGTCGTCATTGTTGCCGTGTTCCGCCACGCAGAGTGTCTTGCATTAAGGGTCCTGCTACCGACCATGCCCTGCTGCTGAAATCTCCCTCGGCAAGCGCTTGATGAACAGCTGGGCCGGCTCTGTTCCATAATCCCCTCCATCCAGCAACAATGTTGTGTTTCCTAATTATCATGTGCTGTCAGACGCACCTGTCTCACTTATCTCGCCTCATGCTTGCAGTCCATCATACATAATACCGATCGTTCCGGCCTCGGCGTTGGTCCACTTTGGAAGTTTCGATCAGATGAATATGCTGACTCTTTGGATTGTTAACACATGCTTAGGCTGCCCATTCGTCTTCAGATGTTCTGGGCTCTGCTCCCTGAGATTAGCGCTTGGCTTGGGACCTGCAGTATTTTATTCAGGGGGTCTTCATACACCAGGGATGCTACGGTTTAGGATATATTCCCTACAAAGGTCTGGCATCCTATTCCCGCTCCTTCCGCAGCAGCATCCGAGAAGGTTTACTGACTTCACTGATAGTAAACCTCCGATACCTTGAACTTGAACCCTGAACTCGACTCGAAATCGCCCCGAAACTCAAGAAGTGTAGCCTCCTAAACACTGTAAGGTTCAGGCCTTTGGGTTTGGGGTTTTGGGGACGCTTTATTAAACAGTAAGCACTAAGCCCGAACCTCGAAGCTCATCGCCCCAGGAAGGTGCCGGACATCTGCCCATGTGAAGCGCTGGCACCAACAGCGCAGCTGTCAATGGCAGCAGGAGAGTTTGTGGAGGAAGAGAGGGGGGGGGAGGAGGATCAGCGCTTCAGGGCTCCAGGGCTGTGGGCTTTTCGGCGACTGGGTTCAAGTTTTGAGATTGAGGCTTTGAGGGTTGAGGGTTGCAAGCGTCAGTAAGTTCAAGGCTTCGCGGCGGTGAGGGTTTCGATTTGGAGGATCCAGGATTTAGGACGGAGAGTGTTTGGGTAAGGGGTTAAGTGGGTGGACCCCGCACAAGCCCTGCAATTAGTGTGAACACTCTGCAATAAATTGCGATAACTCCCTACAGCATCCCAGTAATCATCATAAATGCCCTAAATATTCGCCCAAAGCTTGGCGCTATTGACCGTGGTAGACTGAGCAAGAAATCCGGTCGAAAGCCCAAACAACCCAAGCAAGAAAGTGCGAGATGGGCCCGTTCTTTTGTAAGTTTTTGCAGCTGCTTTAATCAGGGTGCGGAGTGTTCATTGGTGTGTGTTGTAAGGTGTTGCCGGGAACGGAACATACGGGGTGCCTTTTGTTCGGTGTTCTTCTTTCAATACAGGGATCCGCATTATCCGACGAGATTGCAACCGTTCGACCCAACAGGTACCCATAGCAAGGGCCTATGCGGCCCCCGCGGCGCAAAGCAAGTAAGATGGGGATTCGGAATCTCGACACAGTTCTTGCCTTGCACTGTCAAGAATCCCTCAGCCAAATCCCAGCCGCCAATCGAGAAGCGTTGCAGGTTTAGGCTTAGGCTTTAGGGTTCGTGGGGTTCCCAAGTCCGGATGCCGAAAGGGTTTGTGGAAAGCCAACAGGTGTACAAGACGCAAGCTGCTGAATGGGATGGCATGGCAACATGCTTTTTCCTCGCTGCTTGGCAGAATGCCTTTGGATTTGGATTGTTTCGGCCCGGCCACAGATTTGCTTAAGACAATGCCCTCTTAAACTCTTGGAGTGAAGCGGCTAATACGAAACCTTTCGCTTGCTCTCTTGGGACACGGTCTTGAAGCAGCTGTGCTCACTGACCGAGGACACGGCCAAAAACGTGTTCATGTACATCCGCCTCATTGCCCACATCATGAGACCAGGTGGAGGAGGGTTCTGAACACAACTAGCAGCCCAGAAACGGCCGTTTGGTGAGACATACTTGAAGCATATTAAGCTTGGGGATTTCGTGTACGTGATGATAACTGGCTGCATCTAGCTGTTATCCTGTTCTACTATTCAAACAAAAGCCATGTCTCTTAACAAAAGGCTTGGCCATTGCGAGAAGAACACCCGAAGCCTGTACGATGTCAGAAATTTAAAGAGGCATGAGCCCGCCTGGAGCTTTGATGACCTCCCAACAAGAAACCGAACAGTTCTCCCTCGTCCGCGGGGAGGACTGATAAGAGGACTAGAATCTTTAGTGCTTCTGGTGCTTCGCTTTACCAAGGTGCTTTGTGTTTCGCAAGTAGAGCCGCCATAGAAGAGGTTTCTTCTCGGGTGCCCGAAAAAGGGACCCCAACTGTAGAAATCCCAACAGCCCCACAAGAACTTAATGCTCCTCAAGGTGGCATCTGGACCAATCTTGGTCCGCTGCACCTTGCCGAGCACAGGGAACTAATCAATTCGCGGGCTTGGGTTTACCAACTGTTTTGGTCCCATCAATGACGGATTAGGGTTTCAGACGGCTTGGCAGGGCTTCTGTGTACTCGTCACTTAGGGGACATTACAACCTGGGCTCCGATGATTCAGGCTTGGTGTGACGTGCGACGGGCCCCCCTCCTCGGAAATTCAACTGAGAACCTGTTGTGGGATTCCTGCTGAGTTTTGGGGGGTGTAGGAACTCGGGGTTTAGGGTGAGCCAATTTCCAAGGCTATATCACTATGCAGATGCGCCGAATGAGATTTCCATCGAGCATCTCGACCGCAGCAATTCCTTCGTCTCCTCTGTGGCATTCACATGAATCGCTCGAGCCTGCGGTACAGCCGACTACCGCCGGGTTTGCCTTTCGTAACCGCAGCTCTTTGACGATGGGCCCTCGCTGAGTTCAAGAGCACCCTCTCACGTTGTAGGCGGAGGGACAGGGACGACCACTTTGATCGTGAGATCCGTGCGTTCGTGATGCTTTTGTCATGATAGCTCTCGCCCCGCAGACCTCTAACTAGTTGTCAACTTGTGGCGAAGTGGCTATTGCAGTTTCGACTGACGCAGTTGCCGTGACTCGCCGACTTGTTAACTCAGTTTCTCATACATGCAGGGCTCCCTCTGGTTTCTGAAGCCTACGCAGGGTTAGTGTTAGATTGCTCGATCCACTGCCTCAGAAACACCTTGGAACCCTAAACCCGCCAACCCCAACTCAAGCACTGCCAGCAACCCAGAGCCCCAACATTCCGTAAGCACGCTGGGTCTTGTCGGTTTCCCGATACGGGCTTAAGTCTGGTTTTTGGGTTGAGGGGTTTGCAGTATGCTTTAGGGCTCACCAGGCTTTATATGCGGTGTTGTGCAGTTTTCCATGGGTGGGGTCGTCTTAAAGTCAGGGATCCCTTGGTTAGAGGCCCTTGGCCCGCATAGTTTCTGACATTCGCAAGTCAAACCCAGAAGATGAGAAGCCGAATCGGTAACAAGTTTGTCGTCGTCTGAGGCTCAGCTGGGAGGAAGTCAAGCCGGAGATTTGCAAATACTTCGACATCCTCGAGGAGATCGAGCATGTGTAAGACCTTGTCGAACCTACCAAGCCCCATTCTAGGTGTTAAGGCCCGTATCGCTGTGACCTGATCCAGAGTCGCGAGACTTGATCGTGTTTTGCACCACTGTACTCGCCGAAACACGCAGAAACAACCAGAGCCGGAGCGGCTAAAGTGTTTCGCCACTGTCAAAGTATTGGCACCTGGGCTTGGGTTGGTGGGTCGAAGCAGATTACTTGCTTGCCTCGCCATCTCCGAGAATCTATATGCTGTCGACTCAGAACAAATGGTCCGACATCTCAACACCTAAACCTGAAGGCTCGACGGACCGAAACATTGCTGCCATGTATTTTTTCGCGTGTACTACTGTTGCTTCCGGCACCACTTGTCTGCTTGCAGGACAAGCCGGCAAGACAACTTGCAGAGCTCTCACTTGACAAGCTGCAGTGCTCTCACATCCTGAAAAGCACGAACACAGGCGCCAAGCCTTTTACCCGAAACCCAAAGCCCTGAACCCTCACCGGCGGACCAAGCACCTCATGTGGCTGGTCCGAGTGTAAGAGCCTAAGCCGCTGGAGCCAAAAGTCCCGCAACAGTTGGCGTTGTAGACTTATCGGCGTTATCCACCCACATTCGGCCCATGTACCTTCCGCAGGATTCGAGGCTAGGTTCAGCGAAACTAGCAGGTTTGTCTAAGGGCCTGGGGATGTATATCGACATGACAAGACCTTTTCTTGAATGTCTTTTGCGGCACCAGAGTGACCCTCAATCCCTAAAGCAAGACCCCAAAGCCAGTTGAAGGAGTCCGAGAAAATTGCGCGGTACACCGGCAATGCAGAGGGCCTCAGCGTCAATAAGCACCCGGGACCTTTTCGAGAGATGTTGCAACAACTTCCAATCAGATTGGGGTCGCCCCTGTCCAACTGTAACCTGATATAATGATATACCCAAAAGATTTTTTCGAATTGCTGATTCCCACATAGCATCTCTGAATCTTCCACGCCTCAAGCTGAACTAGTAGCCTTCGTCCCGGCTGTTTGGTAGGTAGGCTTTCAGCCTTTTTGGGACACAGAACTTAACCGTTGCAGCCACCGGAACTCAATAACGAGATTTTCAGTCCCCACTGCAGACCCTGACCCGGCCTCCAAATTAACATGTCAACTCGCCCGATCGGCAAAATGCAGCAGCAAACGTGGAGTTTCAAGGAAGGGTCGAATGGTAGAAATTGACGAAGTTCTAGGTTTTGGCTAAGAAGGGATATTCGTGGGGTGTGGACCCTAAACAGCACTGCAGGTATCGATGCATCTTCTTCGCGGCGAAACGGAATGACACGGCTGCCTCGGGCTACTCCAACCCCGTGTTCTGAAGACCTTAGGAATTAAGGTCTGAGGCGTCAGTGGGAAGTGGACATGCCGCAGAAACGTACTATAGTCTCCATGAGCCTAGCAGTGCTCGCAAGCGACGTACAAGCTATCCATCTGCAAACACCAAGTGGCAGCGAACCTGCGACATTAGCAGCAGCCCTGTTTGAAAAGCACGTCCTGCGGCTTAGAGTGCAGCATTCCTTTCCATTTTGGGGATCATGCTGCCCGCGTAGCCAGAAGAACCTGGGTTCTTGGGGCCTGAATCCTTTTAAGTCTTCACTCCCGGAAAAAATCCGAATGTTTGTGTGCGTGTTGCCGGTCACCTGTCTGCTTGATGGGCGTTCAGTCCGCCAGTGCAAAACTGCTTGTGCGCCTGCTGATGCACATCAGGTTTTCAATACACGGGCCATTCAGTGTACTAACACCCGAGTGGGACCTACCGGGGAAGTCCTCTGATCCTTCGTCCGCAATGTGTTCCCCTGAAGATGTGATTCGTGTTTCAAGACAGACCAATCCTCCGAGGAGGTTCGGACAACTACAAACCGCACGAGCCGTTGCCCATCCCCTCCAAAGGACCCTTAAAGGAGAACGTGCATCTCGAAAGATTTCGATGCTCTGACTGGTCTCACAGTTGCAAGATAACGTAGAATCCCCAAAGACATTGGTTGTAAGTGTCAACGGATAATATCCTCGAGCCAAAGACCGGCCAGATGTGGCAGAAAATGGGGCAACAGTTGCAGATCCCCAGATTTCATTGATCTTGCTCGGAGTATGTTCTCTGTTTCTGCAGGCCTCATGGTGATGTACTTGAACCCATGAAGAGCGAATGTGTCCTTAAGCTGCACTCAGGCATCCAGACACTGCGCGAACGCGCCACTGCTGCTTGGACGCAGCTTACAGTCGTTAGTATTTCAAGAGATTGGACGAACTCGTAGTGTAGCTGCCTTCAGATTGACTTGACCACGAAACCGACTGTGCTGTAGGTGGAAATGCCGACCTTTCTCTGAAGTGCTCGAGCCGAAAGCAATTTGCAGCAAGCCGACTGTTTGTTGGTCCAATCGATGCATGCAGGAGGAGCATAGGAGGAGTCTCAGTCTTGGAAGGAGCTCAGCCACTAAAGCCACGACCCTAAAGCTTGAGACAGGGAAGCTTCCATTCGGTAGGTGATATCACATGGTGGCATTACATGGCTAAGTCGGATGGCTCCAGCAACTTTTAGTAGTCGGTCAGAGCGGGCCAGCTCTCGTGAATCCTCGAGAGTGGAAAACTTTGAGGCATCATCATTCGAATAAGATCTGTCCCACGCGCTTTTTGCGTCGAATGGCTTAATGTTTAGAGTAGGGCTTGGAGGAGACATTGTGGTATACAATCAGGTAGGAACTATGAGGGGATGCTATTCTTGATTGTTCCGACCCCTATATTACTTTCTGGCAGCTGTGCATGGTTTACATACTTAGCTTCAGCAGCTGCTTGTTGAATGCAGCATGTGGCATGACTAGCGGACTAGCGCAGACGTCAGCATTTCGCATGCCTTCAGCGCCCCAGCTTTCAACCGAGTAGCAACCATGAGGCACTAATTGGCTTTCGAGCTCTCTACAGCCCGAACTCTACCCGAACTTCCAATTCCAGAATCTCCACTGGTTGCCTGCGAGAGACTCACTCGAACCCTGACCTCGCAAACTCGCTGAGGCCTCTGCTTAAACAGACAACCGAAGCTCGCCCACAGCCCGAGTCGGAAACACAGTAAGCCCGAAGCTACAATGACATAGTATAGGGTATAGGCGATGTGTTTGTTGGAACAGGATTTCGGTGTCTGTGTGTGTGTAGGTAGATACAGTTGGGAAGGGCCTTTGCAAGGGGATGCAGCCGCAAATCCCCGCAAGCCCCTCCAGCCTCACACCGAAAGAGTCGGAAAAGAATCACCTTGCACCTTAAGGCTAAAATCTCTCAACATCTGCAGCCTGAGGTCCTAACAATAACAAGCCGACTGAACCTGTTAGCCTCGTCAGCATTATCGTCAAAATTCCGGCTCTTAACATACCAAGCAACCGAATCAATACCAACCTGAATCGTATCATCGATACGATTCTGGTTCTTAGTATCAACAAAAGTAACAAAGGGAATCAATACCGTCCAAGTTTCCCCTCCCTTGCAGAGCCCAGGTCTTGGCTTGGTCCACGCCGGGCTTGGGGAACGCTCTCGAGCGCTCCAGGCCTTCGGAGACTTCGTGATCTACAAGACGGCTTCCACGATAAGGGCTCTATGCTAAGGGTTCTAGCATAAGGGTTGAAGACTAAGGTTTCGATTTAGGGTTTAGGGTTCTGTAATGATCCACCGCAGGAGAATGCAAAGGCCTTAAGCCTTAGCCATTCCAAGATTCCACAAGGTTTCTTTTCACGGGCGGGATGGTTGGTGAGGGCTGGGCGTATAGGCGGTAGAGACACAGGCATTACGGCAAGCACATGCCGTAGTCGAGGCTGTGATATTATGTCCATTCGCGTTGATGCCGAGTTGTATGTCCACCGTACTTCTCTTTGTATGACGTGAAAAGAATGCGAATGGCAGTTTTCCAGCACGTACATCCACAGCAATTTTACGCCGAACCTGTGTCTCCCTTCAGACTCCTCCGGCCCGGCCCGCAAGCAGCTTTTAGGCCTATGGCTTGCTTGACCGACAAATTCGTGGTAGCACGTAGGCCGCAGGCTTCGAATAGCCCTAGTTCCTACGGTCTTCCTCCAGTCCAGGAGCTGGAGAGCTCGGCATCTGCGCTCAAGGCCTCACTGGGATCAAAGCATCCCTGGACGAAGCAGGCCGCGTGCATGGTTTCTGTTATTTGGGGGATGCTGGGGGCTCTTTGGGCCTGGGGAGAGGCGTTGCTTGAGGGATGAGTTTTGGTGGCAGGGTCGAGTGCTTCATGGTGTCAAAGGCTTGGGCCCGAATGCGGGTATTGAGAAAAGGTTTCCAGCAAGACGAGGCTGAATTATAAACACCAACAAGGGGCCAAAAAAGGTGTATTTGCGGACAGCAGCTGAAAAAAGGGGGGTGCAGCAACCATATGCCAGCAATCAGATCATAGACCCTGAGAACCCTGGCAGTTGGGGCCGCAGCAGTCTGCATATCGGACTCTGCGCACCTGTTATCCTGAAAGCTTAAACTTCAAGCCCGAAGACCTGCAGACCAACCGATGCCATGTGCCGTGGCTCCTAAGGCTTGAACCGATAGAGGTGTGCCAGAGAGTGCCCAGCTGAAGAACTGACGGCTCTTTGTCCAACAACACAGCTTCAATCGTGTTCAATAAACCTTCTGGAACCCAATGGCACTGGTTAGTAGTGCTTCGTCGCTCGTAGTCTACTCAATACCTGCAGAGCGGGGTCCGACGGACGCTGACAAGTGGGAGCGAAAAACAGAAACTTTCTGGTAGGTTAAGGGATAGTCTTACGTTCCACGTCATGAACTGTGCTCACAGAGTTGGTCGCGTTTGCCTGAGGCCCGGGTGGACGCTGACGCGCTGAGGGCAACCCTCGAAGCCTCCGACTCTGGGTGAAAATCGCCCTCCCGCATGAGCAGAAAAAGCGAACACAAGTCACAGAACTATCGTAGATCTCAATGCTGTCATGTCATTGGCTGGCATTAGGGTTTCTTTCTAAGTAATGGCAGGAATCCCCAACGAAACACTTTTTTCTTTATGGACATTGAGTCTCTGCACACATGTCGAACTTGATATCAGATCAGGGGGTTTTGGGTGCTCGCATCCAAAACAAGGGCGGGTGCCAGAGTAAGCGGACTTCGGGTTGATTGCCAAGGTACGTCAGAGTTTAGCATGAAGTGCTCAGGTCTCACGGCCTAGGCTTCAGGGCTTTGTTCTGAGAAGCAGGCCGGACGTTGAAGTTGATGTCGGTGTTTGGTGTGCACCAAAATCGCCATTCAGGTCAGGCGGAGGCGCGTTTAAGCTCATACCTTAAGCCCTATGCTGATTCATTCCATCCTGTGTGCAGCTTGGCCGTGCTTCCGAGTGCACAAAGCTTTGTGTCAGCGTTTGCACCTCGCAGTTAGGTGATTTTGCGCCGCAGCCGGCTCTGCAAACTGAGTCTTTCACCACTTCTCGACCACGGAGAGCCAAAACATTGGGCCCGGCCATGCAGGTCTCGTCCGGGCAATGCAGGAGGTAAAAAAACCATAGAGATGTTCTGACATGATCACATGCCTTCTCTCCGAGATTCTGCAGATACCCCTTACGCATAACATTGCCATTAGTTTGCTACGAGTTTCGGCACTCCAGTGGAGTCGCGTGGATGGTGGCCATGGCCGAACGGTCACTGCCTCTCGGCCGCCCAACCAGGATACTGCGTGCTAGGTTGAAAGAGTGCTGTATTGAAGCTGTCAATGCTCGTAATGGCCAGTAAGAGCAGTAATTATAGCGATACGACAGTAGTAGTAGTCGGCGTCGGTTGTTTGGTGTTCGGGGATGAAGGCTCTAGGTCCGCGTACATGTACGGCACTCCCGTGCTGGAAGCATTGGAAGATCGGACCACCATGAGCGGCGGAAGACGAACATCTATGCCAGTAGCTGCTTTCTCTCCAGCGTTGCCAGTGCAGTCTCACCAAGCGTTCAACCCTTCGAGAATTCGGAGATTCCGGAATAGCTTCAAAACACACAAGCTTCTGCTACTACTGCTACTCCTACTAATACTGCTACTGGTAGTACTACTCCTCCTGCTACTACTACTGCTGCTGCTACTACTACTACTACTACTACTAAGAATAGTCAACTACTACAACCGCAACTCATGGCTCGTCAGTTTTAGCTTCAGAAGGGTCCAACTTCGATCTGTGTCGGAAGTTGCATGGAAGATCCGCGGGAGCTCAACGTCAACGTCCATCTTGCGACCTTCAGCTCATCCCGCGTCGGATAAACAGTCTTGAGCTCTGGAAGCCCAAGCAGACTCTAGCACTCCTTTGTACTACTACCAAGTGTCACGAAGCTGACTTTCGGCAAGAGAGATGAAGGCCGAGCGGAATTGGTCTCTTCGCAATAGGCATGATCATCGAATATTCGGAAGACCCCACATACCCTAATTTGCGAGAGCAAGCGTCGACATCAGGACCCTCAGACTTGGGTCATGCGGTAACTTATGGACGGGAATAGGCTCTCGGGATCCTTTAAGGAGGGTCGTGTCCCGGTCAGTGTCCTGTTGTTTTGTGAGGCTCACCTTCTCAGAGATCCCTCAGAAACTTCGTGAGGCCACCTCCTGGCAACGAAGATGAAACCCAGCAGGAGCTGGAGTTTCCAGCGCTTCTTGGGATTCGGGTGTTGGCCTCGTAGCTGTGAGGTAAGCAATAAGGAACCATTTGGAGTCTTATGTTTCTTTGTTTATCAGGTTTTCGTGTAACCGCACTGCAGAGGTTGTCCTGTTGACGTGGAAGGTTGATCTTCCTTTGCTCTACAATCCTAGATGGCAACGGCGAAGTTTTCAGGTCCCCAGGCACGGACAGCAGGTTTACTGGGTCTTCACGATGAGACAAAGCCAGGTCTTGTCGGAGGGTTTCAAGAAATCAGGCATCTTCCTGGCATGTCCTGATATGTATTTTGGGGCAACTGCTCTGGCCTTTCTCCTTTCTGGAGCTGCCATGCACTTTGAGATTCAGGAGGTCAATATTTTCCAAGAAGAGGAGGCGAACCTCCTTTCGAATCTCGGCACGCAATCTCCCGATGAAGCTCCAAGTTCACATCCCCCGAGCCGCGAGAATGCCTTTCCAAGTCTTTCACGCCGGTCAAGCGGGTGAAAGTCGGGCTCCTGAACCTCCCAAACCCATACCGACGCATGCAATGGCTTTGAAAGTAATGCCGGAATCATGCAGCAAAGGGCTTGCCGTACATATTTCACTCAGCTGAGCCCGGGGCCTGGAAAGTTGCATGCCTGCATGGCGAGGAGCTTTCATTCTTTGACCACCCCGCAAAGAAGCAAACGATCTGATCCTTTTTACCGTCACTCTTCAGTGCTCAAGCCCCGTTAGTTGGTATGAACGCATTTAGCCCGGACCCGAGGACACGCAACATGATCAACCGCCCCCCAAAATCAAACCCTGAACCGGCGTGTCTCAACAACACCCGGATCCCGAGACCCGTTACGAATAAGGCTTGTGCATGAGCAGCATGCAGCTCTCCTGACGATGCTCTCGCAGTCTTTGAGCAGGTCGTGGGGAAGATCAGCTTTAATGCAAGTGTGGATTTTAGGACCATGTGGTTGAAGATTTCTAGTTGTTCCCAGCTGGGGTTTTAACAGCACGCCAATGCAGGAGCTTGCAAAAAGAGCCCGTGAAATGAACAGCTCGAAGCACCGAAAGACAAACCCATGAAGTACGACCATGGCAAGTAATTCTGAGAAGTCTTCACAATGTAGTCAATTATGCCTCGAGCATGACTGGATTGAAGCATTCACCGTAAAGTAGCTCTTGGTGTACGTAGCGTAAACGGCCTGTGTTGGAGAAGACAGAAGAGTGATCTAGCCGACGTCTACCCTTGACCTAGTCGAACCATGTGCAAGGTTCGAGAAGCCAGGACACACACACGTGTATACACACATGTGCACAGAGAGCGAGAAAGAGAGAGAGAGAGAGAGATTCCTTGTGATCGGATGGTCTGTGTGCTTGAGCTGCATCCATACACTACGGGTGCCCAATATTTAATCATTCGCGCTGCTCAAACTGTTGACAACGGTTGCAGTACCTAAGCTCACGAACACAAACAAACTCGACAAGATGCAGTAGCTTGTTCGTTGTGATGGCAAGAAGCAGACACATCAAGTCTTTTTGCGCCGTTGTCCGCAGCACACCTTCATGATACAATGCAGGGTGTTCCTTATTTAGGGGATTGGGAGTATCGCAGGTTTACCGGACATGGGAAAGATGAACGATACTATACCATACCCCAAAACCCGAAGAAGACCCTATGTTCAGATCAACAGCTTTCCGGGGCGAACGGCTGCCAAAACAAATGTGTATATATCAGGATAAGCCTAGCTACTACATTGGCCGGCAGTTGTCCAGAGACTTTGGTATTCGTCTCTTGGGAGGAAAGCCATCCGACGTTTTTGCACAATCAGGGGCGTCTTGTTTATGCCAGGAAACTTTCCAGCAAACTCTATTTGAGCAGTCTTTTACTTGCTGGCACTTTCTGCAAAGCGCATTTGGCGACTGCATTCGCTCCCGACAACCATCGGCATAAAGCCCCGTTAGCACGTCGTAGCATTCATGCTTTAAACCCTAACCCCTGCTGGTACTTTGGTTAGAGAAGCGACGACACGGACCGTGAGACTTCACCTGGCAGGGTAAACCTACTGTCAAGTCACCCATCCTTGCACCTTACTGTAGGGGCGCGAAAAATTAGAGTTTGAACAGGACTCTTTTTAAGGGCTCCTTCCAAAGGATTTCTTGATGTGGGTGCCTGTGGAGTGGTGGCCTTCATGATTGCCGTAGGGCTTTGGGGGGTGTATTGTAGTATAGTTTATTCAAACTTCAGTATTTACTGATCAAGATCGTGAGCTCGCGTCGATTTTAATTTTGGGGTGTAGGACTTCGCATAGGTGGGTACCCAAAATTTGCTTCAAGTTGTAATGAGAGAAGCATACTGCCTGAATCGTATTTAGGGTACTATAGAGGCCTACATAGTACCCAACATTGCTCCCAGGGCTCCTCATTATAGCTATACTATAATCAACCCCAAAGCCCTGTTACACCTATGAAGGCCCCTTTATTAACGTAAACTGTGCTCCTTGACCGATCGCTTCATTCAGTATACACCCCCGCTACGGTATCTTGCTTCCGGCTCTTCACCACGATCTCGGTTACCATGCCGGGAGCACAAGGAATACCCAAAACCAGGCAACGGTGCCCGGGTTAGGCTAACTGTAATATATGCTTACTTCATACCCCTATTAAAGTACTTGTTGCAGTCCTTGTCCAGGCTGCGAAGCATGCATTCCGACGATCCACTTAAGCCCGCGGAGGAGATCCAGGTGCGAGGATGCTAAAGTCTAAGCATCACGATATAGGGTCTATGAGGATTCTATTAGGATTCCTTTCCGGGTTCAACTGGCATCTATGAGGCTTCTATTTGTTTCGCCCTTTGCGGATGAAGGCTTTGTTGCCACTTACATCTGGCTATCCGGCCGACGCACGAGTAGGTTCCGTAAACCTTGAACCCTTTCACAACCGCTCATATCTGATGTAAGGGTGTGAATACCTAGCTATATCTTTCCACACAGATCCTTATTACAAACTTGCGAAAATGTAACCTCAAACCCTGTTATGATTTCTGAATGCCTCTGAAGCACGCAGCCCGTATAGTAACACTCATAGACCTAAGAATAAGCCCTCGTCTAGTCATGAACGCTCCTAATTATGGTTCGAAGTTGAAGGAAAGGCTTTGGGCGTCTGGGGTTTGCCATCGCGGCCGAAGACCTCTTTGGCGCAATGCCATCTCGGGACGGTGCGTAACGATAGTTTATTGTAAAAACACGTAGTAGTGTTGATGGACCAATCAGCCTGTATGTGACTAGCAGGATCTGAAACTAGTTCGTGCATTATGCGAACAAGTGGCATTTAACAATAGTTTTATGTATGTAAAAGTAGCAGTATTCACTGATATGTAAAAGCGGTCACTGGAGCGATCCTTGATGGAGTGGATCGCACGGTGCACGCTCTTCATAATGCAGATGGAAGGTTCGGCCTGTCAGCATCGGTAGGTCCAGGAACAGGATGGACACCGTTCCTGGGCTCACGACAAGACTTGCTAACACCCAGCATAAAGGCAGCAGAAAGCTTCAGGCACTCCGTGAGGGTTCGTCACTCGAGCAGCTAGGGAGCTTTCCACGGTGGCATGCATCATCACCAGCGAGATGCAGGTATATGCAAGCAGAAATGACACACAAAAAGACGTGAACATGCTTCGTAGTCACGAGGTAGATGCTCTTCTGTGCTGGCAGGACGTTGTATACCAGCAGGAGCAGGCGGCCATCAAGATCCAGGCAGCGCTTCCGGTGAAAATGCAAAGCACTGCTGGTCCCACAGTCTTTGCGCCAGGCAGTCCATCGCGGCGTCCTTGCTCGGAAGGCACCACCTCTTTATCCAATTTGAGGGTTCGTTCCTCTAGTGCGACTTATCGATAGCACTGTCTCGATAAAGATACGGACTATACGCACGCATTGTCGAAAGAATATCGAAACGCATTGTATCCACACGGTGCTGAGGCATTTAGGGCATTTTGTGTTCGGGATACGGGGGATGCGATCGATCGTGCCCAGGGTTTTGCTTTGAAGATGAAGCTCATCGATGCTTGAGCCAACCGCTTCTGGCATTGCAAAAGGTGGAACGGGCAAGAAGGTACTCGAAGCCTTCCAGCACGTGTTCTCCTCGCTCTGCTATGCACCACTCTGCTACCAGCCACATGCCGACAACCAGGGATGTGACGACCTACTGAGGCTATAAACGACAGACGACGAGGAAGTGCAGGACCATGGCGACGAAGACGACCACATGCACCACCCTGCTCGCGGCCATGCTGAGTTCTCAGGGCTGCCCTCACACTTTCGTCCAAGACGACGGCTGCAACGTCTGCTTCTGAGGGTGGCGCTTCACTCCTCCTGTTCCGATTACTGCGAGTAGCTGAACTATGACAAGACAATGTTCCATGTTGTTGGGTATGATGTCAGAATGCGAACCGCTGTTACCACCACCAGCACCGTCAACCGCCACCATGACGCACCACGACCGCTGCTTTTACTACTACCGCCTCCGGCAGCTCGCACCACAACCACCACCACCACCACCACCAGAAACACCACAGCACCCCAACATCAGCCACCTCGAATGCCAGCAATGCTACAGGCACCCCAATACAGCGTTCCGCGCTACCCGAAATCTCTGCCGACGCCACTTCGATGCCGATGAAGTCGCCGTCCACACACGGTAAAACACATCCTCGAATCTGCACCAAAGCCATGAACATGATGGGTTATGACAGGACCTGGGCGAGACCCACCAGGTTCGGTCAGCCAGCTTGGAGAAGTGTCGGATTCGTCAACCGGTCCTTCCAGAAGCTCGGCCACAAAAGACGAATTAGAGCTTTGCCGGAGGGGTTAGATCCACTCGAGGTGCTTGTGGTACTTGAATAGTTTGTCGAACACTGTTGCGCACCCCAAACAGTGCCCAAAACCTCCGGCCGAAGCTCATGCCCTTCGCTGAGGAGGATGTTGATCCTTTCCCTCCTGTTTTCGACCGACGGCGCTTTGTCTGGATAGTGTATTTCGGAGTCAGACGCAAGTTTGGGAGTCTTCAGATTAACATCGCCATAATCTTCCAGCGTCCGCCCCGTTGTGGCGGATGAGCCGTAGACTTCAGCCAAGAAAACCCTGGGTAACTAAAGGTATGAGACCGAGACGGCTTCGATGACTCTGGTTGCAGGGCAAGGTTGGAACTTTTCAGCTGTCCAGAGAGCAATCAAGTGTATGCTTGTGCGTGCGAGTGCGCATCTGTGTGCATGCAAGTGTGTATACATACGTATGTAAGCATGCGTGTAACATCGCCTGGCTTTCGCGAGGTAAGTGCCGAGCACCCATGCATCCGTTTGTGGCATGTGTGTGTGTGTGTGCATTTACTCCAATGAGCACACCTAAAACTTCCCCCAATTCCCACACTCGTTCAAAGGAGCTCTTGGCTGACGAAGTGTTCGGATCCTCCTCTGGCAGACCGAAACTTCCCGGGTCCAAGCTTACACCGTTTCTCGTGAAGTGTCCCTTCCGTACTCGGTAAATTCAGCCGCTTGGTCCCTACACCCTCCTCGGACCCCCGATTAAAGTAGATGGGCAACTTCTTCAAGTCCAGCGAATCTCCAAACCACGCCACACTGGAATCCTAGCCAAATACCTTCAGCCGAACACGGGATTTGCAAAAAGGAAAGTTGCCTGTCTGTTTGAGGGATCCTCAGCACGCTCAAGGGATACTTGGCTAAACCCACAAGCCCCAGGCCCAAGCCTGGCTAATGCCCTTACAATCCCTCCATAGTAGCACTGCAGTATACCCCAAAACCCTATTCCAATCATTAAGGCTCGTATATTGAGCCTGTTTTTTGTCAGTCCGCAAAGCAAAATTAGACAGATCAGTGAAGTGATCTTCTTTCAGAGGCTCCGATTAAAGGACTACGGAGATAGCACAACACCCAACAACCTGCAAGAGCCTTTGGACTATGCACCTATACCCTAAACTGCACAGCCCTTAGCCCCAAGACCCTCCGCCGGTAACGAGGCCAGAAGATCCCACGCTGCTCAACGTGGGTTCTGAGACGTCCAACGCCTCATCGTCCCGTGCACCGTCTCAGGATTCAGCGGCCGGGGTTTGGGGTTTCAGGGTTCGGGATGGAAAGTTTGGAGCTTTTCGGGTTCACAGCGCGAGGATAGCAGATCGGTTCCAAAACATAGGCATTCATTCTACTGTAAATTCAGAGTGTTCGATCGCATTCAGGTTCGGCTGGAAAACAAAGACTGGCGCCGGTTTTTGGCCGGAATGCGAGTAGCAGTCAGCATCTTCATCATCTTCATCACTACCAGTACGGTGCAATGCAAACGCATGCATGCATGTATGCCTGTGTGTGTGTGTCTGTATGTACATACATGTATATGTATATGTTCCTGTACATGTCTAAGTCTATGCGTATGCACATGCTCATGTGTATGAGTATGTATGTATGCAAGTATGTATGAATGCTTGTATGCTTGTGCAAGTGCATGTGTTTACTAATGTTGTGTGGCAATGATTAAGATTGTTTCCTTGTGATTGTGCGAATGTGAAGGTGGCCAGTCTACGACGACTTCCACAAAAAGGTCGTCCGTGGGAGGGCAAATTACCGCGACAAGGCGCAGCACTTAGCCGTTTGATGGTTGGCAGCCGTTCATAGAAAGCTTGACCGAGCTTACTGATACTGCCATTGCATGCAGCGTGCGAGTACAGCCTTTCGCACCGAACTGGAACTAACAACTACGCCGGTCCAGATCAAAGCAAGAGTGCCGCTGTCACTCAGCACGGCAACACAGCTGCCTGTGAAACCGGATTTGATCGCCGCAATCATAGCCTAAACATTCTATCATTGGGATCCAGGTCCATGCATTCGAACATAGGGGCTACTCACGATTCAAGGCCAGAGGACAGGTTCTCGAGCATGCCTTGCACTTACACGCTGCTTGCCGTCGAATTCAGCACTTCCGCCAGCACTGCCGGTCCTGAACGGCCGTGCACATTCGCACAAGATACTTCCACTTAGATCCCGACACAATAGTCCTTGCCAAGAGCAGGATGCAAGATCCAATTCATGCACCACCGCAGCGGTCTGCAGGAGATGTTGTTGAAGAATGCTCGCCCGGAAGGTTGCTTCAAACGTGGATAAGCTGGATCCGATGGGGCGTTCTACGATTGAACAACAGCACATAAGACTGCTCATCCGCACAATATTTTCGACTAATGTGTACACGCATTCACAGGCCCACAAGCATGCTTGGCATGTTGACCGCGATCTCCAGCAGACACTTCCTCTTGTTGGGTAGAAGTGACAAGCCTGACCCCAAAAGATCCCAAATACACTTTAAGCTCCGAGACTGAGTACTGGTATACCCCTAAACCTTGTCCTAACCATGAATGCTCTTGTTTTTAACCCCTGTGAAAACCCTTAAACCACAATACCTATAACGATTCCATTCTAATGCCCTGCACTTACACACACTTCAGGGTTTTCGAGTCCATCATGGATGCCACCGTCGTAGAGAGACGTGAACGAACCTGGGCTTCGATGGCGTCGGAATTTTAATTAGGGCTTTTGAATGGGGGCGTTTAGGATTTGGACTTAGGGCTTTTAGGTTGGGTTTTGGTGTTGTAAGCCTTTAGATTTACGCTTCAGAGTTCAGGGGTCTAAGGGTTAGGCGTCTAGGGTGTTCGGGGTTCAGGTTGTTTAGCTAATCTCGGCGAGCGAGAGAGAGAGAGGATATTTAGCGAATCAGTCTCTGCAGCCCGTCCTCGAAAGCACTTTTTCGTTGGGGCTTCGAGTGTATTTTTAAGGATTCAGGGCTTCAGCGGGTTGAGATTAGGCTTGTTTCAAGATTGCTCAGACTCGATGCTCCAACTCGCCAAACCCCGAAACCCCAAAATGCCCCGATAAGCGCGCCGGACAGATGGTATGCCGAAGTTTCTTCAAAAAGCGTTGCATGTGAGGCGTTCGGTATCGTAGGCCGAGAATCCGACTCTCCGATTCGCCTAAAACAACTAACGGCGGTGTTTAGGGTTGGACCCCCAAGCTTGTCTATGCGAAGTCTTGCAGTATGTCGAAAGTTAATGAGCGAATGGGCGAAGGATGGGTTGGAAGGCTTGACTACGTTGGAGCTGCTCTTGTGCTCCTTGTCTGCCTTGGTGCCTGGGTTAGGATGTTTAGCTTCGTAGCAGTATCCCCTGACCGTTGCGTTTAGAAGTTCTCGATTATGACACCCGAAACTTGCTTTAGGCCCTTTTTCGGCCCTCTTAGAGCAAGCATAGAAGTTTGTGAGCGTCCTGGGTCGAGATCAAGGCGAAGCCCTGCAGTCAAGCTGAGAGCCCGAAAGCCTGAGATTTTTTCATATCCTTTGGGAAGCTGTACAATCTCATGTAGTGTATCTTTTTTTACATCGATGTAGAAAACCTACACTACAAGCACAGCATTCAGTTGTTATGAGCTTGCCTGGAAGTCGATTACACGACATCATTGACATCCTTCAGATTGTAGCCGACATCGACACACACACACACACGTACGTAGAGCATTTCCAGAGACCCGCGAAAGTTTTCTGCACAAAGCGATTTCAATTCACCCCGGTCCTTTGCATGTATCAGCTATGCTGGACTCCTCGCTTCAGGAATTTCGGAAGTACACTTTATTCCAGGCATTGAACAGGTCGGCGTTCGCTATTGTTCATGTCGCACTTCTTAAGAACATATGACTTTTTGCTGCCTTCGGGCACCCAAGGCTCAGATATTTTGCACGTCGCAGCAAGATCTTGCGACGATTGTGCATGCGTCGGTCAAGTTCTTCTTTGTTGTGCCTCCTGTCTCTTGTGGTTCCTCAGCTCCACGCAATGTGTCCTCTGCTAAGCCTGCGTGCATGAAGGAAACGTTCAGCTCAAGAAGCTACATAGTTCACCGACCAGACAGAAACGGTTCTGAGTTAGCGGCCCGATGGGCCGAACAGTTTCGTGACTTCCATGACAAGAGACCATGCGCACTGTGTCACTGCACTGTCCTAAACTAAACAGCACACCACATAACTCAGACGTCTTGCTTTTGTGCATGAGATTGATTGGTCACAATGTTCGGCTTTTTCAGCATGGCGATATTGGGTGGGGCATGCGTGCAGAGTGCAGATCGTCGCAGTACCCGGGATGGTGCGATTCTCACTGCATCTGTGCAACGCTGCTGCGTGTTGCACAGCCATGAAACATGGCCGTGCACGTTTGCCTCGAAATCTCGCCGGAAACCCTGATCAGGCTTGTCAACTCGGTCGTCATGCTTATGGAGTTGGAGCTGGAGGGGCAGGATATCGGTTGCTCGGTTAGTAAGCGTCGTCGGTGCGAGGGGCTTAGGCTTGGACATAGTTGTCAGGGTTTTAAGTTCTGGGTTACAATGCTAGTCTTGGAAGCTCACTGGTCATCGAAGATCCAGTTCTCGCAAAGTGAAGGGCCAAGGGGCTTGGAAGCGTGGGTTTCGACCTCTAGGAAAGCCAGATCTAATTGGCAACAGCCTGTCGGTGCAGTGGGCCTGAGGCAAGACACTTGGCCAATCGGATGGTTTCTCTTCCGACGCTATTCTCGACGTCCTTCACGTACTCGACACTATGTTTGCGCATCCTGGCTCCATGATGACCCCGGGATGAGATGAAGACCTCGTGCTGGGTTTGGGTTCGAAGGGGCCGAAACTACACGCTGATAGCACAAGAGTGGAGTTCTGCAGTCAGAGCAGAACTACCCCGAAGGCCCTCTCCTTGATGTAGATCTAGGCTCTTGCCTGTTACCAGTAGACTGTCGGCTTCTTCATGCATCCGAAAATCCAAGTCCGGTCGACTACCTAGCTTGCAAACCCTAAAGTGCACAGCGCAAGGAAAAGAGAAAAAGGCATTGCAGACATGGCGCGCATGTGACATGAAGCACGCCTGAGCACACTGCTGCGACGACGAAGGCGTGCTAGATATCGTACACTCAAGCGCCACAGTGTGAGCGCTTGGAAGCTCCGACCGAAGCAAAGGTCCTCAGCGGGAATCGGATGACATTGTCATCATTCTCAGTCTTACCATGGTGGTTCTTATTCTTCTTACGTATTCGTACTAGTACTGCTATTGTTATAAAAGCGTCATTCGGGCTCCCAGGATGTTCGAAAAACCATCTTGGGACCCTCTTCTATCGCAGTCTCCATCCCGAAATCACAATTCTGCAATCCTCGAGCTGATTAGGTGTAGCCTTGTGGCTACTGTAGCTTTGCAAGGATCATCAAGCGATCACATGGGAGTGAAAACAGTAACCTCCAATGCCAGGGCTTTGCAGCCTAATCTGCAGATGAATGCAAGGCAACATACACTTACCTAGTAGTAGAGTAGCTAACCTTTAACCTTTTTGGGTAGCTCAGTCCCTATATAATCCCTGTATAACCGAAAGGTTAACTTTTACTGCCCCATGATACCTGACAAGTAGGCTTACTGCTCGAGGTGCCACCAAGACAAACTGGAAGAACTTATAGGGTGTAGCAGACCTGGCCGACAATACACCCATCAAAAGCTAGCCCTAACCCCCTTGCTGCTTGGCGTTGGCATGACCTGTACTTATGCTGTTTGACAGCTTCGGTGCTTCATTCCCCTTTCACTTGTCAGACCGTTGTTGCACAGGTGTGTCCGAGAATGTCAAAAACCCTTAAGTATTGCACGCCCCTTTTGGCCACGATCGAAGCTGCAAGGCACTATCAACTGCGGCGTAGCCCTAAGCCCTGGACCCTGCAGCTCTAAATCCGATGAACCTGCTTCCCCAGCCAGGTTTGCTTTTCTTGGAGAGTGGCTGCTCCGCCTTGTACTCGTGAAGTGTGGGTTCTGGAAGGCCTGGCTAAAGACCGCCGTTCAATCTTCCATGGTGTTGGTGTGGTTGTTTCGTTGTTATTGTTCTTTTGTTCTAGTTGTTCTTGGGTGGCGGGGGGTGGTGGTCTTCCCCTCTGCTCCGTCGTCTTCTTCTTGCCTCGCGTCCTTGGGTTCTTTTTCTTTTGCTGTTCTTGGTGAGTGGTGTCGGAGCCCTGGCCTCCGGTTAAAAGTTTGAAGAGTCCAACCCAGAAAGCCCTAAACACACTGCCCTGAGAACGCTAAGCTTCGCAGACTTTTGTGTTGACGTCAGTTGATCCGGTGAGGTAGCAGGGTGACAGGCGCTCACATCCAACCACTGTGATCTAGGTGGTTCCCTAGAGTCACCGGGTCCTTTTCGTGAAGATTTTACTGGTCAGAGTGGGGGCGTCCTTCTTAGCCGAAACTTCAAACTACAGTAGCATCTGCAGATTGGTGGCAGTGGCGAGGCACTGCGACCAATCATCAACCGAAAAGACAAGCGTGAGCATCATGCGAGAGATCATGCTCATTGTCGATGTTTGTGGTTTTCACGCTGCAGGCACTGTCGATGACACACATCCGCATTTGCGAAAGCTCGCAAACGTGATTGGTGCTAGCAGTCTGTAGGTTGAGGACCACTTTCCGGAATGCAAAGCTCACTGAGTCAGCAGCAAGAGACTGCACCGTCAAAGCGATGTGGTCAGCAGGAGATGGCCAACTGGTTTGACACAGCTTTGGTGTTCGCTGGCCTCGCAGACGCATCTTGTAAGCACATCGTTTCTTTAAGTGCAAGAGTTCCCGCGATGCACTCTGCAAAATCGCGAACACTGCGCACTTCAGCTTCCGAACTCGGCACCTCCACCCGACCCGTAAGCCGTGAGATGAAATACCAGGTCGTGGTGGCCTGGGCCTTGGCTGACGGCGATGCTACCTCGCGGAGTCTAACCATGCTTCGCCACTTGGTGCGTGCAGTGACTATTGCCTTTGATCGTCTTGTGATGATGTCGACTTTTTGATGATTCCGACAAAAGGCATATTGCTGCGGTCCTTAACTGCTGCTGCATATCCTACAGCTAGCCATTGTCGAAGTTGAACTTCGGCTACCGAGGCTCAATGACGGTTTGGAGGGGTCGGGACTTGGGGTCGAGGTTTCAGGAAGCAGCATGGATTGCTCAGCGACCTAGCACCTAGGCCCTCCAGCATGACAATATCAAAAACTAGGTGGCTGAGTAAGTCAGAGTTTCCAGGCCTGAGGGCAAGATTCCAACAACGTTCAGCTTTTAGGGACCGGAGGCCACACTCAAAGAACCTGGCATCCCGTGAGTAAGCACCATCGCCATGAGTCATAGTTTCACCCCCTCATGCGTCCAGCTTGCATCCTTTACTGGCCGCGTAAGCGGGGCTCGCTCAGGCAGAGGCCATACTTTGGAGGGTCCGATAGCGCTGACATCTGATGTCTCCGAGCATCTTCGGGATAATGTTTGAAAGGGCTTTGGGTGGTTTGGTAAACTACAGCTATGTAAGGCCTACGTTGGGACATTACTCGTTTTCACTTGTATTACTATTGCTAGTGTTAACATCATCGGTTCTTTTGCTGCCAAGATTCAACGAAGTGCTGAACGTTTGTGATGGTTGGCATGAATCTGTCCAATTCTGGGAAACCAGCCGCCCATGCTCTATGACTGCCTAGACTGCCGCATCTCCAGGACTCGGATCCGGGTAACACTCGGGTGGTTGTCAAAATTATGGTTCTTTGTTGGGTGCCCTAAATTAAAAGTGCCGTATTATACTAAGGACCCAAAAAGGGACCCTAATTTTGACAACCACCCCTTGAAGCTAGGGTGCATGGCAGCTCCAAGCTTAGTAACCGAACTTTCAACTGTTCACTCCGATGCTTTTACTTGTGGGAGTGGCAGGAGACATGTCAAAAGCGGCTGTCCAAACTTCACAATCCTGGAACGTGATCATATACAGGTACAAACAGCCGACCCTAAAGCATAAATCGCTTTACCAATTAAACCTAAACCTCGCAAAATTGATTTGCTTTGAGCCAGTCGGGTTTTCTTGTTAAAATCCTTACCGAACCCGGAGCTCAGCCCGCTTTTGCCAAGCAAAGCTCACATGTTTGGTCTCCGCCCACTGCCACTGAATTAAGGAGTATTTTGAAGTCATATCAAGGACCTTTAATACAAGTGTAACCCATAGCTCTATAGTTTCAAGAGCCTTCCGCTCAAGCAGGGGGTTCAGGAGTCTGTGGGCCGACTGCAAAAGTCGCTCAGGAATGATGCGCGTGCTGAAGTCCATGCGTGCCATTCGCGCCTTCGAAATCTGGGAGTTTTCAGAGTACCTTAATGTAGATTCTGAGCAGGATGCAGATTGCAGAGCCTCCAACAAGAAGCCTACCATAAGCATTCAAGAAGCAGAATCGTTTGCCGAAGCAGCTTCTGCAGGTCGTATCTGGATATTATTTGCAGAGTGGAGCAGATTTCAGCAAACGAAGGCTGAGGATGCTGAAGTAAGTAAGCCAATGTCCCAAATCTCACATAGAAGACCTGAAGTCAGTTGGTGATAAATGTCGTCGGTCTGGCCAGGAGCCAGCTAGATCTTGCTTGCATGGTGGCTCAACTCGCGTTGAAAAACTAGACATCTCAAAGCACCGACAAGATCGTAGCCTAGCATCTATTCCTGCAGATGCTGTTTGGTGTGCTCGTAGTCTCTCTCCAACGAGCTGCTTTTAGGACCAATGCCACTGATCAACAAGAATTTCTACTGCTACTACTGCTTCGGTTACAGCCATCTTCGCGACGACGCACACTCTGTCAGGAGAACTACCACGACTACACTAAACAACGAAAGACAGCCTGCGACGACTTCTACGCTGTAAGGGACGGAGGTTAGGATCAAGGGTTGAAGCACTGTGCACTGTAATATAAACCCCCAACCCTGAACCAGCTTAACAGTACCAAACAGCAAAAACTAAATAAAAAACAGCAGCTTCACTTAAAAACAGACCCTTAACATGGCTGATGATCGTCCTGAAACAGTTTGTGCTGTGACAGAGCAGTTGTTATGCAAGCATCATGGTTCAACCATCTTTCCTCGCTTGTGTAGTTCGATTGCAGCCATGCGAGAGGGAAAACAACCTAAGCTGGTAAATGCAAGACCAACCACCAGGAATGGTCCGAAGCTTTCGATTCTTTCGTGGCCTGCGAGTCTTGGTCAAAGCCTGTTGCCCGGCTGACAAGCGGATCAGAAAGACTTCAGCTGTGAGCTTCAGCTGGCACGACCCTGGAGGGTATGGCCACAGGTTCGAGTACTGTAGTGACTGTAGTGTGTCGGCACCTTTCGGATGTCTTCGGCAGCGCTTGGCGTCGGGAGTACACGTACGACGTAGGCGGAAGCTTTATGTCGCCTCTAAAGCTGACTTCAAAGGCGGTCCACCAGTCTAGACTGCAAGACACTGCTGACCAGATCTCACACATGTTCAGCAGAAGAACGTAGCCTTTGCGCCGTGAAAGTTTATTCCCGACATGCAACGATCCTAAGAGCTTGCACCGCACTGCTGCCAGTAGCAGTCCAGTTGACCACGCTCAATGTGCAACACGCAACACAGCCTGCTAGATCAATCAGACACTAGACAATACAAGTGCTTCCTTCTCAAACAAGTCGGCGGCGGCGTTTCGTTCGTAGAGCATGCTTTCGAGGGAGTCATCCTTGACGTCAGAAGGATGAGCCGCTCCACCCCTTCAAAACACGTAAAGTCACACACGCACGCCCAAAGGGTTCGAAGACTAGCATGCTTCACGCTTCACCTGACAGAGCAACGTTACAATGCCTGACAACCCTTAATCCTACACCCTGGCACCCCTGCTTTCTCACGACCCCTGGCCCCTGGCTATCAAACTCACAAGACACTGAACAATCCCGATGCTTTTGAACGGGGCTTGACAAAGGGCTTCTACGGGAGTCAGAAAGGCTGCCGAAGTGTTTTGTAACGTTACATAATGCATGTAGGGAGGGTTCACAACGTATTCAGGTTCACACAACCCCAAGCCCTCAACCAAATACACTCAACCGACAACAAGGCTTTTGAGAAGTAACTGGGAAATTTGTTCAAGCTCCAATGTTCTCGAGGAAAGTCTCCTAATCCTAAACCCTGACCCTAAACGCCCCCAAACCCTCAACCTGAAACCCTGAAGCTCCGAACCCAAAGAAACACCTTTGGATCTCGATACTCTTCCAGACACAAGATAAAACAATGCGCCAGCAATATACAACCGCCAGTACCTGTTGTTTCCTGACTACAGCTATAGTACAAGATAAACCCCGAAACCGTAGGTCATAAAACCCTGAACGAAACCTTATTGTAGCCCTTCAAGGAGCACGTTACGGGAGCCTTACTCTAACTCGGTCAGCCGGTGTACCTTCTTTTGTCCGAGGTCAATGCTTCCTTCCTTCGCTGTGTTGGTCCATGGTGTTGCTCCATCGGATCATAAGGGTTCTCGGGTTCTCAGGGGCTTCTGGTGCCATGTACCATGCTCTACTATACTATGCTCTGTCATGCTGTAAATAGCACGTTTCATTTGTATACTATAGTACACAACATGCGACATACTAAACTTTGCATGATAAGGGTGTTGATCTATGGCTTGAGTGATACTTGTGCTCCAGCGCCGGTACCTCAGAGAGCCCGGGTTCAAAAAGATTGCAAGTGCTGGGATCCAGTTTTGAACAATTGGTGCTCAGGGTTTCAGGACGTTTCAGGGTTCAGGTGCAATATGAACATCTGAAAATCTGCAACTATATCCTCTCATCGTTCCGGTATAGTTATAGTAGAGTAGACCCCAAATACAGATCTACAAATGACATTCCGGCTTATCGCCTTCGTGAATGGCATGAAGAGTATCACTGAAGGATACAAACTCTTGACAATATACAGTAACTTGCAAAGTTGGCTGGATATGAATTCACCTGCATATGTCTCCTCGATGCCCCACAAGTCTATCGGTTCATTCGCACCTGACTTCGGTCCGCACACAGCACAAGACCCTAGATGTCAGGATTTAGGTTTGGCAAGGGCATGACGGGGTCTACAGCTCCGGGCCCACTGTGGTGAGGCCGTTCAGGGGTTGGCATGTGGGAGCGTCAGGGAATAAGCGGTCCCCATTCTTGGCTTGGTCGGCTCTTTTGAAGATCTCCGCCTTTCGGGCTTTAGATTCTGTTTTGAACGGAGTTTGAGGCTCAGAGCATAGTGTGCATCGCTCGGGCGATGGTGTGACATAGTCAGAGTTGTATCACGTCGCACAACCTCCAACTAAGAAACCCTTCATTCTTTTACTCAGGCTGCTCGGCCTCCTCATGTCGATGGGGTCGCTGTTCCTGGGGCTTCTCGCTTTGCACATTGAGGTAGACCGACTTTCAAGTCGGAGAAACCCAAATCGAAGCGTGCGGTTTGCAAGCTCTACGGAGTTGTCTTGCGCCGGATTCCCGTGACATTGGCAACAGCAGCTGGCAGTCACGGCAAGAACGTGCAGCGAATTGAAGTCGCAGACACTGAGCCACCGGCAGGCTATACATGATGCCATCACCAGCGTAAAACCCTTTGGTACTGCTGTAGGGCCCTGTGGTGAAGCGAGCAGCTCCTGTGGTGAACTGGAACAAGTGAGAATCGATCCCATCAACTTTTCACACCGACTCCGCACCTAAGAACCTCGCCTGGCTGTGTCCGAGTTGTGAGAGCGTAACAAGCCCCTCTACCTACAAAATGGCCCTTCATCTTGTAATGTTTCGAACTCACCGAGGAATCTGCTGCAAGATCCCATCGCAGATGAGGCCATGACGCTGGAAGATCGGCTGCTGAGACCGCAAGGATCTGTAGACAGTGCATGGACCCTTGAACTTCCAACTTTTGCCCTCCAGGTTTACGATTGTCTGAACCAGTCGGCGGCACCGGAAATATCAGACTTCCTGCCAGGTCAGCTCAATGCATCCGATAAGTTGTGCTACCATACTATACCCGCAGGGTGGAGTCATCATTTATTGCACCTTCCCATCCGAAACCCATGGAATGACATAGGCATGCATGTCCTGAATGTTTGCAGCGTGTCCTGCGGATCTAGGCACTGCTCGTACAAGCTCCCAAGGTATTGTTTGCACAGCACCAGAGGTTGTTGCAGACTATGGACCTGTCCAAGCGTTCAACTCACTTCTTCAGCATTGGCAGGGCTTTTCTCAGCTTGAAACTTTGTCGGTCAAAATCGCTTCTGGATTGGTGCAGGAACTTGGCGAAACAGCTTTATGTACCTGTTGGTATGTGGTCTTACTTGTCATTTTGCCACATCTTGCCAGGCAGCACCACTGCCAGCTGCAACAACGAAGACAACAGCTCCAGAAGCACTAACGAACGCGACCGCCACGACGTCTACGACTAATACTTCCTCCCATGGTAATCCTGCCTGAAAGCAAGTCGCAATAGGGCTGGCATCAGGGAAACTTGCCACAGCAGTAGCAGCTGCAGCGGTAGCACTAGCAATACTAGTAGCGGCAGCAGTAGTAGTAGTGATTGTAGCAGTACTAGTAGCAGAAATACTACTAGCAATACTAGTAACAGTAGTAGTAGTAGTAGTAGTAGTAGTAGTAGCAGCAGTGGTGGTAGTAGTAGTAGTAGTAGTGGGATTAGTAGTAGTACTGTAGTAGTGTAGTAGTAGTGTAGTAGTCGTCGTCGTCGTTGTGGTGGTGGTGGCGGTGATAGTAGCAGTCTACAACTGCTACAACCACTCCTGCTCCTACTCCCACCACTACGACGACGACTACTACTACTACGTACTAATTATTACTACTACTACTACTACTACTACAACTACTACTACTGCTAGTACTACTGCTACCACCACCACCACCACCACCACCACCACCACCACCACTACTACTACTACTACTACTACTACCCGCACTCCTCCTCCGGCTCCTACTGCTACTGCGTCTCCTACTGTTGCAACTCGTTCTGGTATTGGTGTCAGCACTTGGAGGTACTTGTAGCTATTTGTATTCGCACTGGAACTAGTGCTCGTCGTCCGTGTAGGAAGCGGAGCAGGGTCTGGGGGAGGAGCCGAAGAAATCCAAGAGCTTCGTCGGATCCCAGTCCGTCCCTGGCACAGCTGCCTGTGCAGGTGCTTGGCCCGGACCGTCGCCAAAGAATCTAAGCCTCGCCATCCAAAACCATTCCACTTGTTTGGGGAGCTGGAAGCTTGATAGGGCAGCACTTGCAGGAAAGTAAACAAAACAGTCACCAACGGCAACGTCAGAATCAAGGCAGACTCGTTATGGATCTCAGGCAATGGTTGTGGAGTCGATACGGGACGGCCTACCGGTCAACCTACACGCTGTTCGAGATAACTTTTGCAGGCAGGCAGTGTCTGCCTAGTTCGTCACATGCAGATACATGCGGGGTGAATAGACACTGGTACTGTTCAGCCGCAGAGATCAGTGCTTGAACTCTTTGCAACTCTGCCAAGGCTTGCAGTTCATGTGCTCACAATTCTGAGCATGCCGCAAAGTCCAGTATCAGCCTTGCGCGAGTAGCTGTTGAATGGCCAGTTACACACACTTTTTGCCACCTCGGTGTGTGGCACTTGCGCACTCTAGATAAGCCTGCTCCGAGTCGTGTGGTCACCTATAAGCGAGTGCAGCGGTCCCTTTACAGCTTGCCTTGCGAGCACTGAGAATCGTAAGCTTGGCAAGAGCTAGTAGCACTGCAAGCTCTGGCTCTTCAGACTACGTGCTTGACATCAACGGTTTGATACTGCTTGTTTCAGGTCAGCCACACAGCATACCGATGATGGTTGTAGAGCATACCCTTAACACGCACTGCGCTGTGCCGATGCAATCTTCGTGTCACAAGCGAAGAAAGCCGCAGCGCCGGACCAAATCCCCACTCCCAACGCCCAAAATTTACCACTTCCGTTGGCAGGTAACTGGCCGCCATTCGACCGCAACATTGCAAGCTGAAGTAGTACTACGGGCCTGCAAAGGCATTCAGTATCCAAGGGTTTGCATGGCTATTGGTTTCTTGGCATTTCTTGGCGGTCCGAAAGGGCGCTGAAGCACCTGAGTCCGAAGTCAGCGTTTAGGCGCATGCCTGAAGCTTGCTCTGTCCACTTTGCCCGCTGCCAAACCGCAAGGATCAGTGCTCGTCCGGTCCTGGAGAAGGTCTCTCATGCCTTCGTCGCGTTCTTTGCACCTTTCAAGCAGATAGAAACTGCTTCTCCGTTTCTGGTATTTCATCAGGCTGAAGAAAGGGCCATGGAGTCGACCATCCTAGGCAGCCTTTCGATACCAATTCGCCTTCGATTAAGAAGCCTGACAGTTGTATCGGGGAAAAATATTGATACGGCCGAAACTGCAACTCCAAGGTGATCTATATTACCGTCGTGGTTTTCGCGATGCTGCGTGTCATCAGTGCCGTCTTCTTAAAGGCCATGGACACTTGCACGTGTCTTTGTGGCTGCTCCTCTTGGAAGGAGATTTTGATCAGTAGACACCCTGGCCAAAGGACACGTTGGATGCCGCGCAGAATGACGCCGAACAGCTGGTCATGGACAAGATGCGGACACAGTCGGAGCACCCCTGCCGTATTTTGAATAGCTTCTATAATTAGGGTGGCGGAGGGCGGTTCCTCGTGCGCCCTGAGGGCATGAGGGATGGAATGGTCTCCAACATGGGACGAGTGGACATAGACACATACATATAGACAGACGGGCTCAGCTTGTGCATTCCCCCTTCTCGACAACTACTAATGTTGACGGCTGTCGTGCGACTGGCCGGAACATGTGCCAACTAGCGATCAAGTAGGAACGATTGTGCACATGCATATGCATTTAAATTTACACATGTACATACGCATTTCGCTGCTCCTGTACTAGGACAATAAAGCTTCAGGATGTGTTCGCAGCCGTGCAGCTGGCATCAGGAGCTTGGAGTACATGGCTTACTGCTCTTTTTAAGATTCCTCCCGCCCGAACACCTGCCACCCTACTTGCCCTGTGCAGGTATATTCAAAAGCTTGAGGAAATCTTCAGGCTGGGCGCGGGATTCCCGGAGGTCTACAAACTGCAAAGTCCCTACCAAAGGAAACCTAAAGTCAGGTTGTTGGAAGTAAAGTCAAGTCGAGGCAGGTCGGGGACGCGCTTGCGATGTTCATTTAGTTCGCCGTGTCATGACACGTTCTCAAAGTGGAAGACGGCACAGACGAGATGTTAAGAAGCTTTTAATTTTCGCACTGTCCTTGCCACAAGCGTCACTTTGCGTCCCCTCCGACAAATCTTCAGCGTGCTGATGCACTGGTTCGGGTCTCCCGGATGAAGAGCAGGCTTCCAACTCTTTCGTTGTTCCGCTGAACCTAAAGATAAAGAAGTTGTGCAAGATTTGGGGATGTCGGTTTTGACACAAGATCCTGTTCAGGATCCAAGAACAAGACGAGTCTGTTCCAGCAACGCTCACATGAGTGTCCAGTTTTCGATGACCCCTGTTTAATGCTCTATGTCTAGGACAAGCACCCTTGCTTCAAGACAATGCTTTGCTATGCATCTTTGTAGGGCTTGTTCAGGTGGTTGTTTTATACCTTTTGTGTGACGAGGTGTGGCCTAAGACCGGGGTCGAAATACCTTTCGTTGTACTCTCCCTGTACAGTCTGTATATAGTCATAGCAGAACAAGCCCCAAAAACCCTGCGGTAGGTATTCAGACCCCAAATTGCAACCCGAAGAAGACCTAAGATAAGCCTGACAAACCAGAGTTCAGGTACCAACGCCCCGTTGTTCTTGTGTCGATTTGCTGGGCAAAAAGCCTTTCTTTACTGGTCGATGGCTGGGTGTGTCTATGCCATTGTCTGGGGCCATAGGTTGTCTATAGAGCTTTGTAGAACAAGGCTATAGTAGGCTCCGTAATTCATGCTATTTTGCATTTGCATACTGTTTGCTGGGCTCGGTTTGTGTCGTGGTGCTCTGCATGCGTAGCAAAGGTGAGACTTTCCCTGCGCTGATTATAAACGGTTGCATGTACAAGCAGGTGCTGTTGAGTAGAGAAACAGGTCGAGATGCACGTTCTCATAGAATTCATACGTGTCACGCCACGCCCCCCATCTCTCTGCATTTTCTTTGCGCTCCGTCTCTCTCTCTCTCTCTGTCTCTCCCTCTCTTTCAACGTGTGTATAAATGTACAGTGATCTACGCTTATCTGAATACGGACCACTTATTCCCATATACATGTGCTTCTATGTGCACATATACATGCGAGCCTAAGTCTGTACGTATACGCGAAGAAGGTCCACAGAAGTTCATGGTTCTGTGCAGCTTGCATGCTTCTAGATGCTCGTTCTTTGCTGGCGCGCGTATCCTTCCTGTTTTGCGCAAGAATCCGAGAAGCAGACTACTTGTGAACATGCCTTCCATGCCACAGCGACGCCAAAGAGCATGAGTAGGACCCAGCCCAGCCGTCTCAGCGCACCGAAGCCAGGGCGATCAGCTGCTCTAAGTCCAGCATGATCACGGAAGAAAGGCTCATTGAGTGCCTCGGATCGAATCGCTTGAACTTGCTTCAGCCGTAACTTAGGATGGCGTAAGGCTGGTTTCGAGTCTTGTCTTTGGAGGCTTCAAGACCAGATTGCTACGTTTGCCGCACTTGCTTTTGTTTTCGATTCCCTCCACCCGTTCAACCTCTCCTCTCGATATCGGCTTTTTTGAAATCAACAGTAATAGATAAGTTGAGGGTTGGCCGCTTGCCATGCCGAGGTCGTGTTCACGAATCCTTTTCAATCTGGACAGAGCTTCAAGCTAGCCAGAAAGCTCCTAAGCACCTCACTACACATGCAGAGGGCTGTACCGATGGCAATGCACTTTCTCGTTCTCTGTGCATGTGAAAAAAAGCCTTCACTGGGACTCTCAGGATCTTCGAGAATCCGAAGGTGGCGGCTTACTTCCAGACACTGGACTTGGATGTGTCTGGGCAGCAACGGCATTCGGTGATGCGCTCATGGGAGTCCCATCCTCAGACCCTGAAGCCCTGAACCAGCGGTCTTGCTGGAGAATGTAAAAGTCTGACGGGTGCGCAAGTCACCTTGCTTGCTCACAGAACAGATGAAACGTCCTGCAGACACTGGCCTCAAAATTGCAGGTCTTCAAAGCACTGCAGAATCACATCTCCAAGCCCGTCGTCCTAAGGTGCAGGAGAGCCGAGCTTTGTTTCACGTCCTCGCACCTTGGCATGGTTCAGCTGTTCAGTTT